AACTGAAGAGATTAATGTCCTGACCTCACTTTAACCATAGAACTAAACCTAACCCTAATCTTAACATTAGACTTAACCTGAACCTTATTCTTAAACCTAACCCTAAATTTTACCTTTCACCTGCTTGAATCAATTCCGACCAAAATAAATATCTCAGCCTGCCTTCGATTTTATGACCTGGTCTCCTAACCTAGGATCTAACTTAAACTTAAGTGGTCAAACGGTTGAGCGCAAAGGCATAGAGTTCAGTTTCAGAAATTTTCGTGGGGGGGGGGGGGGGGGGGGGGCGGACACAGTTAAAAGTATTATATTTTCTATATAAATTTGGCGCCCCCTGGGAGCAAATTTTCAATTAGCCCCCCCCCCCCCCCCCTAAAACTACTTACAATGCAAAAATGCAGCTAAAACGACATTATAATTTGTTTTTACAACCCATTTTGGCGCCCCCTAAGGTCGGCGCCCGGGGACATATGTACCCCCCCTGCCCCCCCCCCCCCCCCCTCCATCGCTACGCCTTTGCTACTAACCCGATTCCGAGTTCCAGTTAGTAGACCAAGGCATTTGTAGGGATAATGGGGTCAGCACTTTGTCCAGCCATCTTTACTTTTCGTGACATGAGTTAGGTACCCATCAGAGCGTTCTCAGCTATATTATTAGTAATTAGATTCTATCTGCATTTATGTTTTTTTGACAGTACCCTAAACAGTATCGGTTAGAGAAATATTCTGACTTTAACAAGTACATTAGGGTTAATTAAGCGTTTAATGTTTATTTACACAGCAGAGGCGTAGCGGAGGGGGGGGGGGGGGGCGGGGGGGGGACATATGTCCCCTGGCGCCGACCTTTAGGGGGGCGCCAAATTAAAAGTTTGAGGGGGGTGCAAATAAAAAGTTCGTCGGGGGGGGGGGGGGTGCAAATCGAAAGTTTGAGGGGGGGGGGGCAAATGAAAAGTTCGAGGGTGGGGGTGCAAATCGAAAGTTTGTCCCCGGGAAGGGTCGCTACGCCCCTGTTACACAGTATATACCCCCATTCACGTATCGGATATTGTGCTAAGACCGGTACGCCTATTCTTTTTTTTTTAGTCGTATCTATAATCTCATCAGCAAATATTGCTCAGCTGAAAACAGATATTTTTGAAGTTTTTTTTTTAATCTGATCTATGATTCTTCCGGTTGGTATTGATTACATGCACGGCTGTGGCCGAAAGATAGCATCGGGGGAGTCAATACAAACAGCTTGTGGCCAAATCTTAGGGGCAATGGTCAATACTTAGAACAGATTAGCAACTGTATTTTTGATTTCGGTGTAGATCTAGATATTGTCAAGTTTTTGATTATGTTGAGAATGAAGGTTAACGTTATGTTAAATGTTGAGTTAGGGCTTGGAGTAGTTGTAGGGTTAGTGTTAGGACCTTGGGTTAAGGTTATTCTTCTTCCAAGACACATGGGGTAGATGAAGTAGAGTCCATCTGATTCATTGACTTCGGCATATGAAGTTATAGTGTGGTCAGCTCTATGTCCAGCCACCTTTGCTTCCCTGAAAAAAGTAAAGTACCCATTAGAGCTGGGTGGGACTCAGGGACGTTCCACTGATTTTGAACCCAGATTCGAACTCGAGACTCTCGGGTTTCAGGGTGGCAGTCTAGCTCTCTACCGAGAGCGAGGGAAAAGAATAAGTGTAGTGTATTGACATAGTTAAGGTTAGGGTTGGAGGGTTAGACTCGAAAATTCCTTCACCTAAGGGTAGTTTTTAGGTTAAACTTAAAGGCTTTGTTTTCAGCCCATGTGACCTTTCTCGGTGTAGTATGGTTTAACTACGTACATGATAGCTATAAAACTGTATATCGGTGAAGTATTTTTATCGGCATGTAAGCTATTGAATTGTCGGTGAGGTGATTTACGACTTAATAGACGTGTTACCCTGTGAACCTGTTTGCTTAGCCTGGACAAAAACAAAATTGTTTAAATATAACCTACAGGTTAATCCTTTTCACAAGGTCAAAGGTCGAGTCCAAATATGCGCCTAAGCCATAGGTCCCGTATCATTCAGCTGTGCACTGAGATGTGTACCTAACATTCGCCTTGGAACTAATATGCCCCTAACATTCGCCTAGGAACTAATATTGCCCCCCCCCCACTAGCATTCGCCTAGGAACTAATATGCCCCCTAACATTCGCCTTTGAACTAATATGCCCCCTAACATTCGCCCTTGGAACTAATATGCCCCCTAACATTCACCTAGGAACTAATATGCCCCCTAACATTCGCCTTGGAACTAATATGCCCCCTAACATTCGCCTAGGAACTAATATGCCCCCTAACATTCGCCTTGGAACTAATATGCCCCTAACATTCGCCTTGGAACTAATATGCCCCTAACATTCGCCTTGGAACTAATATGCCCCCTAACATTCACCTAGGAACTAATATGCCCCCCTAACATTCACCTAGGAACTAATATGCCCCCCCCCCCCCCCCATCCTAACATTCGCCTGACTTCTCTTAGTATTTTACCCAAACACTGATAATGTTACTTCATCTAGTCCTTGACTAACCAATTATGTTTTTCTTGTGTCTTCTCTCAGTATTTTACCCAAACACTGATAATGTTACTTCATTTAGTCCTAGACTAACCAATTATGTTTTTTCTTCTGTCCCTTCCCCCCCCCCCCTCCCCCACTCCCAGTGTTTTACCCAAACACTGATAATGTTACTTCATTTAGTAATTTTAGTCCTAGACTAACCAATTATGTTTTTCTTCTGTTCCCTTCATCTAGACCTAGACTAATCAATAATGTTTTTCTTGTGTCTTCCCCCAGTGCTATACCCATCATCCAGAGCAGCTGGACACCATTGATTAACAACTGAGCTAATATTTATTTTGTCAGAAGTTTTTATTTACATCAACCCCCCAACAGGCGGCAGTGTTCTCACACCAAATGAACGAAAGGTAGGTGCATGTGTAGTACATGTGGGGGTGGGGGTGGAGGCAGTGGCGTAGCGAGGTCGGGTGTCACCCGGTGCGGCACTTAATGGTGTCACCCTCCTTGAGGCGTAGCGACCCCTTCCCGGCGCCGGGGGACAAACTTTCAATTTGGGCGCGCTCTCTGGATCAACCTTTCAATTTAAGATTTTCACCCCCCCCCCCTCTCAAAACTTTCGATTTGCACCCCCCCCTCCCTCAAACTTTCGATTTGCACCAACCCCCCCCCCCCCCCATCCTCCACCATTGTCGGGATTTGTCAAATATGCTCTTAAAAGACTATTTAACACTCGAATTAATCACTTAATTAAGTGGAATTATAATTTTTCTCTATATTTTTTGTGATATTTTTTGCTTTGGTGTCACCCCCCCTAAATTGTGTCAACCGGTGCGGTCCGCACCCCCCGCCCCCCCCCTCGCTACGCCACTGAGTGGAGGGTTGTTCATGCACTAGGGGAGTGGTGTCTGCTTTTGTGACGCTATGCGACATCGGATGGTTAGAAAATGGGAAAGTAGCGTTATAATACAATAGTAAAGTTCCTTTTCATACTTGTGGGCCCACGGAGCAGGTGAAGTAGAGTTCACCTTTTTATGTGACCTTGGCTTATGAAGAAATAATGTGGTATTCACTTTGCCCGGCCGCATTTAATTTCTCTAACGTAAATAAGGTACCCATAAGAGCTGAGTGAAACTCAGAGAATCATTATTTTGTTAACTTGAAGTATGGATTAATGTATATTTAGGTTACCTAACCTTCTCTTAAATTATTAATTTCGATTTGAAGTTGTGTGTTTGTATACGACTTTGGTACTCAATTTTCTTTGTAATACTCGTTTTTGTTATCTTGAAGTATTTAAAGTGTGTATACTAAGACTGTTAACTTAATTATTTGTAGCTTGAAGTTTAAGTGAGTGTATGCTAAGGCTGCTCAACTTTCTCCATAATTATCTTTCTCTTAATTATCTTTTTGTTTACTTGAAGTATGGGGAAATGTATGCTGTATACGAAACTTACCTAACTTTATCTGTAAACATTTGTTAGCTTGAAGTATGGTGTGTGAATACTTAAGCTACATAACTGTAATCATCTTTTTGTTTACTTGAAGTATGGTGTATAAATACGTGAACTACATAATTGTAAACATCTTTTTGTTAGATTGAAGTATAGTGGTATGTATACTTGAGCTACTTAACTGTCCGTGTAAATGTATTTTTAAATTGCACCCCAGAAAAAAGAACAGCAGATCTTCCTACACTATTCAGTTCAAGTTAATGACGCCAGTAAAACGCCCTACACAAGTGCCAAATGGGTAGGTGTTTCTATCAAGTTGTGATGTCTTACGGTAGTACCAAATGGGTAGGTGATTCTAGCAAGTTGTGATGTCTTAAGTTAGTACCAAATGGGTAGGTGATTCTAGCAAGTTGTGTTGTCTTAAGTCAGTTACTAAAATGGGTAGGTGATTCTAGCAAGTTGTGTTGTCTTAAGTCAGTACTAAATGGGTAGGTGATTCTATCAAGTTGTGTTGTCTTAAGTCAGTACTAAATGGGTAGGTGATTCTAGCAAGTTGTGTTGTCTTAAGTCAGTACTAAATGGGTAGGTGATTCTAGCAAGTTGTGTTGTCTTAAGTCAGTACTAAATGGGTAGGTGATTCTAGCAAGTTGTGTTGTCTTAAGTCAGTACTAAATGGGTAGGTGATTCTAGCAAGTTGTGTTGTCTTAAGTTAGTACTAAATGGGTAGGTGATTCTATCAAGTTGTGTTGTCTTAAGTCAGTACTAAATGGGTAGGTGATTCTAGCAAGTTGTGTTGTCTTACGTCAGTACTAAATGGGTAGGTGATTCTATCAAGTTGTGTTGTCTTAAGTTAGTACTAAATGGGTAGGTGATTCTAGCAAGTTGTGTTGTCTTAAGTCAGTACTAAATGGGTAGGTGATTCTAGCAAGTTGTGTTGTCTTAAGTTAGTACTAAATGGGTAGGTGATTCTAGCAAGTTGTGTTGTCTTAAGTCAGTACTAAATGGGTAGGTGATTCTATCAAGTTGTGTTGTCTTAAGTCAGTACTAAATGGGTAGGTGATTCTAGCAAGTTGTGTTGTCTTAAGTCAGTACTAAATGGGTAGGTGATTCTAGCAAGTTGTGTTGTCTTAAGTCAGTACTAAATGGGTAGGTGATTCTATCAAGTTGTGTTGTCTTAAGTTAGTACTAAATGGGTAGGTGATTCTATCAAGTTGTGTTGTCTTAAGTCAGTACTAAATGGGTAGGTGATTCTAGCAAGTTGTGTTGTCTTAAGTCAGTACTAAATGGGTAGGTGATTCTATCAAGTTGTGTTGTCTTAAGTTAGTACTAAATGGGTAGGTGATTCTAGCAAGTTGTGTTGTCTAACGTCATAGTGATGTGTTTATGTGCTGACGCTATTCTGATGGTGTCTGTTATACGTTATCATACAATGCAGTTCTCTGTGTAATGTGCTTACAATATTTGGTTTTTGTGTTTGTCGTGTGTTAAACATAATGTGCTGTTGTGTTTATGATGTTGTCTGTCATATTTATCAAATAGTAACGTTCCTTTCGTAATGTGCTTGCAACATAATGGTTTTTGTGTTTGTAATGTGTTAACGATATAGTGTGGTTGTGTTTATGTCTTGAAGCTATGTTATCAAATAGTGCATTTGTCTATGCAATGTGCTTACAAGATTTGGTTTTTGTGTGTGTAGTGTCTTGACGATATTGTGATGTTGTCTTTCTATGTCATCAAATAGATGTCAATGTAATGTGTTTACAACATATGGTTTTTTTATGTTTGTAGTGTGTTAACGACATAGTAATGTTGTCTTTGTAAGATAGCGGCGACATAGTGTTGTCTGTTTAATGATATTAACAAATATGGCAGCCGTCTTTGCAATAATGTCTTTACAAGATGTGCGCATTTATAATGCGTGTACAACGTAGAGATTACTTTACAGAGTTTCTTCCATGCATATCTACAGGGGGGGGGCTCTACTCCTCCCCCTGAAAAAGTCTACCGCCACCCCCCCCCCCCCCCAACGAATTGGAATTCAATAGAAAACATACTTTTAACAGTCTCCGCCTACCCCCTACCCCCCCACGAAAATTTAGTCCGCCCCCCCCCCCTCCCCTGAAATATCGAGTGCCCCCCCCCCCTCCCTCAGGAGAAAAAAGTCTGGAAGAAACCCTGTTACTTTAAGGCGTAATGCTTGATGCTCTATAAGGAGTTAGGACTTTCTACTCTGTGGGCATTGTTGTACAACATTGATGTTGATCAGAAGATAAACTTGCGAGATTTCACTTCGATCTTTTGAGGCGATTGGGGAAAAATCGATCAGAGCAAGACAGATTGGAAAATATTTTGTTTAAAAAAAATGTTTTTAAATTAAATCTGTATTTAATGCAAAACTTAATGAGGCTCTTGTGATGCCTATTTAAATGTTAAACTTATATTTTTTGATGCATTTTTGCTTTTACGGTTTTATAATTTTCAAAATAACTGCAATATTTGGTTACGTTTCAATTTATTTAATTCAGTTATAAATACCGCCTAACACTAAACATAGGTGGGTAGATTAAAAACTTCGAACATAAGAAGTTTGTACTATAATTAGCTTTTTTAGCAAAACAAATACTAAAGAAACAGGTCGTTATATTACATTATCCCCACCCCTCCCCCATTTTACCAATTACTTTTAACATTAAAAAATTCCATTTTTTAATAAGCTAAAGTAATTATCTCTAATGAACCTACCCTAGTAACGACGTGTTTCTTTCAGATATTTGCAACATACGCCTAGCTTAGTGGCCAATGGGAGTGCTCAAGATCTAGTTTTAGCTTAATGGAAGGAAGGATGGTTTAAACTATGTATCGGTGGTATGTACACAATCATCGCATTCAACACACCATGTACACACTCATGTTTTATATGTACACAGTTAGGCTAGGTCTGTATCGGATGAACTAAGGTTTATATACACATCCATGACATTCAAAGTACACTAGCCACATATTACACTCATGTTATATTTGTACACAGTGAGGCTAGGTATGTACAGAATTAATTAAGGTTTGTACACACACGTTCATGATATTTAAAATACACTAAACAATTATATACACAGTCATGTTATATATGTACATAATTTGGCTAGGTATGTTCATAATGAATTTAAGTTTTGTACACATTGACTCATACACATTCGTCACTTAAATCATATTATTATGAACATACTCTTGTTATATATGTACACATTGAGGCCAGTCTGTACAGATCGAATTAAGGCCTGTACACATTAACGTTCATCACATTCAATTACACTAGCCACATATGTACTCTCTCATGTTATATATGTACACATGTAAGCTAGGTATGTACAGAATTAACTGAGATTTGTACACACTCGTGCACCTTTATTACATACAAGCACACTAACCACATGTACACACTCATGTTATATATGCACACATTAAGCCTAGGCCTTTACAGAATGAATAGTTTTGTACACACTGACGTATACAAAAGCATCACGTGGAAGCACAATACCTAGATATGTACATACTGACATATACACCCTTATCACAATCAAACACACTAGTCACATTTCTACACACTTGTTTTATATGTGTACACATTGGTGCTAGGTTTGTACAGTATGATGTTAGATCTGTATACATTGACAAGTACACACTCCACACCTAAAAGCATATTAGCTAGATATGTTATATATGTACACTTTAGTCTAGGCCTGTACATTGTAATGTTAGATATGTACACACTGCCACGTACACACTTATCACACATAAACTCACACATGTGACAATTATGTACAAACTATATTTGTACACATTGATACTAGATTTATATAGAATGATGGTAGATAAGTACAGTACCACGTACGCACTTTTGCCATGAACTATTATATGTTAGATCGATGTGTACATAATTATATGTACTTATGCATTATGTGTACAAATTTACATTCCTTCGTGCTACGGAGATATAAGCAAACTTCATGAATACGATCATAGAAGAAGCGTTACATTCTTACACAATTAGTGTCCACCACCTACTTCCCCCCCCCCCCGCCCACCACACACACACATCCCCCCGTCAATTACCCCACGGACATATTTCCCCTCCCCCGACATTAACCCCCGGAGTAATTACCCCCCCCCCCCAATCAATAATCCCCCTGTAAATTACCCCCCCCTGTCAATTACCCCCGGCCAATAGGATATTACCCCCCACCCCCCGGACCTAGATACAGCTAGGGCTAGGATACAGTTATGATTGGGGCTAGGGCTAGGAAAATATGGGGGGGGAAATGTCCGGGTGGTAATTGACGGGGGGGTAATGTCCTGTAGCCCCAACCCCCACCCGGTAAATTTGCTGTGCCCACTCAAATTTTCAAAAGCCCCCCTCCCCCTGGAGAAAACTGCCCGAAAGAAACCCTGATTAGTTTATAGTTGACCAACAGCAACATAACGCCCCTATTTAAGAAGATTCCATTACTGTTGCATTAAGAAACAGCAGTATGAAACAGAGACCGCGTGGGTGTGTGCCGGTGCGGAAGGGGGGGGGGGCAGCAGTTTTAAGTTTTGTCTTACTCTGAAGAAAATCCATATTTCACATTTTCTCGTTTCTTGATCTGAAAGGCAGCTATAAAAATTATTTCTTTGCGAAAATTACACTGTAACATATTAAAAACATTTTATTACTTCAGCTTAATAAAGCACCTTGACTTTATCAAAGCGCCCATGTAAGCAGAAAAAATTCGTCAACATGTTTTCATTTCATTCCCGAATCCTGTCAATGATTAAGTTCCGATAACTCTTGCGATAAACAAAATGGTGATCGCTTAACGCCCTTGGTTGTGGTGTATACACCGATCGCTTTTTGCGTGCCCTTGATAGCGTTAAGTGGCACGTTGATTTAGAGGTGACGGATATTGGAATACCTGGGTATTGGCAATGTTTTTAAACGAGATAGATTGTTTTATAGTCAATTATTGAGGGATTATAAGGAAGTGTGTAAAAAAAAAACTAATGTCACCCGAACTGTATTCATAGTCTAATAAGTGTTTGTTTACTTGATCTTCTTATGTGTTCACTTAGTGTTTGTTAATTATTGTGTTGTATGTTCATGTTCTGTATGTCTTCAATACATGTTTAAGTCGTGTTCAGTTTGTGTTCAATATGTAACGGTTTGTATTTTTACATCTGCTATCTATTCTGTAAGCGTTTTTCAACATGTAATTTAAGTCGGTGACCAATGAGACTATAGAACGCCTCCAATTACGAACAGAAAGTTTGTTGAACGGGACGCCTCAAGTTACGAACAGATAGTTTGTTTATCAGGATGCCCTATTTACGAACATAAAGTTTGTTAATCAGGATGCCCCTATTTACGAACAGAAAGTTTGTTAATCAAGATGCCCCTATTTACGAACAGAAAGTTTGTTAATCAGTATGCCCCTATTTACGAACAGAAAGTTTGTTAATCGGGATGCCTCTATTTACGAACAGAAAGTTTGTTAATCAGGATGCCTCTATTTACGAACAAAAAGTTTGTTAACCGAATCGCGAAGTATTATTCTTGGTTTTGTGTGTCTTTACGTTCTATCTTATATCTGAATAAGGTCAACACTTGTAAAGTACAAAACCCACAATTTAAAAAGTGAACAGCAGTTTTCATGTAGTTGCATTTAACCGGGTCAATATAAATAGCTATTATTTGCATATAGAAAGTGTTTTTGTAACCATTGTTGAATATTTTAAGCTAAACGTGTCGATATTTATTATAGATTAGCTAGCGTATCGAAAGTCAGGTCGAACTAGTAGTTCGATCTGTCTATTGGACCGCCGCCATTTATGTTACAAAGTGCTTCGGTACCCTAGTCTTTAGGGCCGGGCACAAAGCGGCTCGGCTTAGCTGTCAATGGGAAACGCATCGTAAAAATGTCCGCGGAAAGTATACTGGGGTATTAACTCCTTTGGTGCTGCCGATTTGACACCGTCTCTCGTACGTCCGTCCTTGTATCGATTTCTTTTAGGGTTGTCTCGTCTTAAAGTGTTAACGATAGTGAGGTAGATAAAGTCAAGCAACACTTCTACAACTTTTTTGAAGTGTTTCTATAAATATCTTCATATGCCTTATACATATATATATATATATATATATATATATATATATATATATATATATATATATATGAATATTTATTTATTTATTTATATTTATATATCTATACATATGTTTATGTCTTGACGGGGTGTTTGGTATGGGAGAGACTAGATGCACTGGATATACATATATATATATATATATATATATATATATATATATATATATATATATATATATATATATATATATATATATATATATATATATATATATATGTATATATATATATATATATTTATTTATTTATTTATTTATTTATTTTTATTTATATATCTATATATATATGTTCATGTCTTGACAGGGTGTTTGGTATGGGAGAGACTGGATGCACCAATAATTCCAAAGGAGACGGCCAACAAAACTACTCGGATCACTCGGTCAACTCCTCTAGCCCACAAACCACAGACAAGAATTCCGTCCGCTCCGGCCACTCACTCCTCAAGATGGCCTCCGAGAAGCGAGCGCGCAAGGTTCGTTTTTACCGCAACGGTGACCGCTTCTTCAAAGGGATGGTGTACGCCGTGTCGACCGAGCGGTTCCGGACGTTTGAGAGCTTGTTGACCACGCTGACCAGTTCCGCCCTCTGCGACAAGAACGTCCTGCCAAGCGGCGTGCGGCACATCTTCACCATCGACGGCACGCAGAAGGTCGAGTCCCTGGACCAGCTTCAGGACGGGGAGAGCTACGTCTGCGCTTCCACGGATTCGTTCCGCGCGCTGGATTATTGCAAGAACGAGGACCCGTACTGGAATTCCAATCTGTTTCCTCATCACACTAAAGAGCGTCATTCACAGAGTGCTTCCTTGCAGCAGGTATAGTTTCTTTTAAATACTTTTTTTAATTAAAAGGTTAATTAATGATTTATTTCATTCTTATTTTATAGGTAAATTCGTAAAGTATCTTACGTAATTTTTAATAACTCAATCCCCATAAGTATATTGATTGATTAAAACTTATTGATAGTCCATCCTTTCTATATTTTAAATTATCGTTAGCAATAGTTTAAGCTATTTAATTATTATAATTAATACATAGCCAAAGAAATAGCCACAAGACAGGTTTTAGACGAAAATGTATCGATGATAGTAGTCATCTGGTAGTGGGAATACTCCGGCCCAAACGTATCGATTATACAATACGTTAGATAGTGGGAATACTACTACCCAATACTATCTTTAGCACTAGTCATTTATATAGTAGGAATACCGCTAGCTAATATTATCGATAACTGTAGTCATTTATATAGTAGGAATACCACTAGCCAATCTAATATATTAATACTAGACATTTAGCATGAGAGATAGTGCTGTTCAAATTAATCGATACTAGTAATTTGATAATAGGAGTATTGCTGATCAATGGTAAAGCTTACTGTTAAAAAATGCTATAGCTTGATTGCATTGGCCTATGCTGAAAATATCGTTACTTGTCAGTGTGCTATTAGTCCTTTTGCTAGACTAAGAAATAATGTGCCTTGCTATAGTGGTTTTTTTTCTTACTTAATAGCAACTAACATGTTGAAGTTATAAATTTCCTCTCTCTCTCTCTCTCTCTCTCTCTCTCTCTCTATATATATATATATATATATATATATATATATATTTATATATATATAGGCAGTGACGGTTCGGGTCACCGGGTGACACCGTTTAGTTGTGACACCACGACGAGAAATCGCAAAATTTATTGTCAAAACATGTTTGTTCGAGTTAAGATAACAAAATAGTACTGGGAAAGGGGTGACACCAAACCGAAAATGCAAAATAGCTTGAGGGGGTGGGGTGACACCTGACCCATTGTCACCATTGCTTACAATGTCTTTGTATTATCGTCTACCTAGAACGAACATGCAGTGTTTAGACCAATGTTGAACAAAAAATCCAAAAAGTGTGTAGCTATTTACTCTCTTATAGCTGGAACTCACTGGGTTTTTTTTACTTGAGCAATTCTTTTTTTATACAGTGCTAATTCAAAAGAGCCCCACCCATCTTAACACCACCCCCCCCCCTCCCCACACACACACACGCACTAACACAACGAGTACCATTTTGTTTTTATTTACCAAATAATTTGGTCCTTTACCTTTACAATACGTTTGTACCGATTGTCGTAAATAGTAAATGTTTTTGCAGAACTTTGTTAATTATAAAAATTAAAATTACCTAAAAATACAAACAAGTACTCAAATTTAAATGGCATTTACAACAGATTATCGTACTCTTAAAGAGCTCACATTCATCTCCCAAGGCAGAATAATCTTAATGAGAATAATACTTTTATTAATTTTTTTAAAGACTGGCTACCCACACTGAACTCTTCTTAGTTACTTTACATATAGTGTATACTGTCCATATCTCCCTAGCAACAGATGGCATACACTGTCCATACGGTTGCCATACATTATACCTCCTTAGCAACTGGTGCCATACACTATACATTGTCCATTCTTCCTTAGCAACAGTCAGCGGCGTAGCTAAGGGAGGGCGGGTGGGGCAGACGCCCCGGGTGCCGACCTTAAAGGGGCGCCTAATTGGGTAGGAAAATAAACTAACAAGCTTATTCCGTGTTGCATTACTGTTGAATTTTAGAACAATAGAAAGCTACTTGTTTCTACAGACGGCTTTCTAAGATGCTTGTGTGATACGGGAAAAAACTATTAACGGTGACTGATGTGCGTGGGGTGGGGGTCCTTTTTCGCTAACGTGAATAAATATATAAATATGTGGGTGGGGGAGTAAAATTGATAGTTCGCCCCGGGCACCGGAATGGGTTGCTACGCCTCTGGCAACATTTCCCATATAATATACACTCGTTCTACTTCCATAGCAAAAGGTACCATATATTATACACACTCCATACTTCCAGAGCAACAGATGCCTAACATTATACATACTATACTTCCTTAGCAACAGATGCCATATATTATACATACTTCCTTAGCAACTGGACCATATAGTATGCACTCTCCATATTTCCTTAGATACATATTATACATATACATACTTCCTTAGTGACAGGAAACACATAATAACACTGTCCTCATTTCCCTAGCAACGAAGTAAACACATGAAGGACGAGCCGAGGTCCCGTTCAGAGTCGAAGAGTCTCTCGTCCATCAACAAAGTTCCGTCGAGACCGCAAAGTGCTAAAACAGACAGAAGCTCCAGGTCACAGTCTCTAAAGGTGGGTCGGTAAAGGTGGGATTTAGTCGTGTTCAAAGGTGGTATCTAGTCGTGGTTAAAGGTGGTATCTAGTCTTAGTAAAGGTGGGATCTAGTCGTGGTCAAAGGTGGTATCTAGTCGTGGTAAAAAGGTGGGATCTAGTCGTGGCCAAAGTGGGATCTAGTCGTGGTCAAAGGTGGGATCTAGTCGTGGTCAAAGGTGGTATCTAGTCGTGGCCAAAGTGGTATCTAGTCGTGGTCAAAGGTGGGATCTAGTCGTGGCCAAAGGTGGGATCTAGTCGTGGTCAAAGGTGGTATCTAGTCGTGGTCAAAGGTGGTATCTAGTCGTGGTAAAAAGGTGGGATCTAGTCGTGGCCAAAGTGGGATCTAGTCGTGGTCAAAGGTGGGATCTAGTCGTGGTCAAAGGTGGTATCTAGTCGTGGTCAAAGGTGGTATCTAGTCGTGGTCAAAGGTGGTATCTAGTCGTGGTAAAAAGGTGGGATCTAGTCGTGGCCAAAGTGGGATCTAGTCGTGGTCAAAGGTGGGATCTAGTCGTGGTCAAAGGTGGTATCTAGTCGTGGTCAAAGGTGGTATCTAGTCGTGGTGAAAGGTGGTATCTAGTCGTGGTCAAAGGTGGTATCTAGTCGTGGTAAAAAGGTGGGATCTAGTCGTGGCCAAAGTGGGATCTAGTCGTGGTCAAAGGTGGGATCTAGTCGTGGTCAAAGGTGGTATCTAGTCGTGGTCAAAGGTGGTATCTAGTCGTGGTCAAAGGGACTATCACTATGTATGTGTATGTAATCCTACCGTGAAAGTTCAATTCTTCCCCCAGTGTGAGAAGACCCTGGAGGAGCAGCGAGCCTACGAGGAGTACCAGCGATCGTTCGTCGTTCCCCGCCTCATCACCATCTTGAAGAATGGCAGACGACCCAGAAAAGCCATGCGGTTACTGCTGAACAAGAAGACAGCCCAGTCGTTTGATCAGGCAAGTTATTAACTGTCTTGTCGTGTTTGATTGGTGGTTATTAATAGATGCGTGCGAGTTTGGTAAACGTTGAGAAATGGCGACTTCCGTAAATAGAAGTAAGGGGTCATTTTTGTGTGTTGTTGACACAAACTTGTCTTTGTTATCTATAGAAAATGTTGGTTCTGTTATCTACATAGCTGTATATTGTTTTAGTTAGCAGCTGATAAAAATGTAATATTATCTCAGTTTACCGAAAATAAATTTTGATTGACTTACTTTACCAGAATAAAGTCTATGATTCGATTGACTAAGTTTAACATATAGAAATAAGTGATTGTCTCAGTTCGCTAGATACAATCTACGAGGGGGGGGGGGCGCCAAAATGGGTTGGAAAAATAAATTGAAAGGTTGAGGGGGGGTGCAAATCGAAAGTTTGAGGGGGGGGGGGTGCAAATGGAAATCTCAAGGGGGGTGCAAATCGAAAGTTTGAGGGGGGGGGGGTGCAAATCAAAATCTTGAGGGGGGTGCAAATCGAAAAGTTCGTCCCCGGGCGCCGGGAAGGGTCGCTACGCCTCTGAATCTACGATTGTCTATATTTACCAGAAATAAATATAAGATTGTCTTAGCTCACCATAAATAATAAATGATTGTATATGTTTACCAGAAAGAAATCTATGATTGTCTCAGTTTGTCCAAAAAATTCATCTATGGTTGTCTAAGTTTACCAAAAGAAATAGATAGGATCTATATGATTGTTTTAGTTCGCCAGAAAAAAATCTCAATTTAACTAAAAAAAATATGATTTTCTAGTTTTACCTGCATAAAAACAACGTATAATTGTCTAAGTTTACCAGAGGAAATATATGATTGTCTTAGTTCGCCAGAAAAAATCTATGATTGTCTCAACTTAACTAAAAAAAATATGATTATCTAGTTTTACCTGCATAAAAACAACGTATGATTGTCTAAGTTTACCAGAAGAAATATGTGATTGTCATAGTTCGCCAGAAAAAAATCTATGATTGTCTCAATTTAACTAAAAAAGTACGATTATCTAGTTTGTCTAAGTTTGGAAAAGGACGCCAGAAATACAATTTTGATTAAATTAGCACCATACAAAAAAAAGGAGTTTGAATTCTTTTCTCCAGAAAATAAAAATTCATTTTTAGTGAGCGGATGCATATTTTATTGATTAGAAAGCCTCTGAGGTCAAGTACTCACAGTATGAATAATGAGCACATTAATACTGCGTCTATTGTTGTGATATTGTTCGTTCGTCAGGCGGTGTGAATTATTCACAATTTTCAAATTTGATGCGATCTTAATACTTTAATCAATTATGTAAATATTTTCGATTCCCCAGCAAGGTTATATAGAGTGCCCTGATTAATTAACTCTCGCTTTATGAGAATTTTTTTTTTAAAGTAACAAGTGTTAATTAGCATGTGATCGGTCTTCTACTTGTGATGGTTATTGATGTATTGGTGTAAAGCTGATCGATGATTTATCAATGATCGATTGGTTGACGCTGTGGTTTCCAACAGGGTGGTTCGTTTCATCAGGTACTAGTATAGGGGGGGGGGGGGTGAATTTTCTAAAAGAAATGTACATTCTATAATTTAAATATATTTTGATAGAATATTAATATGTAAGTACATTCTTATACCGTAGAATCACGATAGTGATTAGTCACGGGTCGATGTTGATGTTTTGGTTTATTATTAGCTGAAAAGTTGATGCCTTGGTTCTTTTGCAGGTGATGGCCCAAAAGTTGATGTTTTGTTTCATTGATGGCCCAAAAGTTGATGTTTTGTTTGATTTATTGTTCAAAAGTTGATTTTTTGGTTTCTCTTGCATGTGATGGCCCAAAAGTTGATGTTTTGGTTTCTGTTGCAGGTGATGGCCCAAAAGTTGATGTGTTTTGTTTTATTGATGGCCCAAAAGTTGATGTTTTGTTTTATTTATTGTTAAAAAATGATGCCTTGGTTCTTTTGCAGGTGATGGCCCAAAAGTTGATGTTTTGTTTTATTGATTGTTCAAAAGTTGATGTTTTGGTTTCTCTTGCAGGTGATATCCCAAAAGTTGATGTTTTGGTTTCTCTTGCAGGTGATATCCCAAAAGTTGATGTTTTTTTTTATTGATTGTTCAAAAGTTGATGTTTTGGTTTCTCTTGCAGGTGATGGCGGACGTATCGGAGGTCGTCAAGCTGGACTGTGGCAGCGTAAAGAAACTTTACACACTCACGGGTCGACAGGTCAGTCAGGTGTATGTATGTGTGTGTATGTGTGTACATGTGTGTGTGTGCGTGTATGTGTGTGTATGTTTGTTTGTGTGTATGTGTGTGTCTGTGTGAAATGTGTGTGCGCATGTGTGTGTGAAGTGTGCGTGTGCGTGCGTGTATGTGTGTGTGCATGTGTGTGTGTGAAGTTTGTGTATGTGTGTGTGCATGTGTGTGTGTAGTTTGTGTGTGTGTGCGCGTGCGTGTATGTGTGTGTGTTTGTGTGTGTGTGTGACTTTAAGTTTGACGTATTCGTGGGTGATATAGTAAGATACACTCGCACTTTGCCGTCACTAGGTGTGTGACTTGTGGTACGCTGTGTGTGTAGGGGGGGGGGGGTGTTAGGGTAGAGATACGCTGTGTGTGGAGGGGTTGCTGGTTAGTGTAGAGGTATGGAGAAAAGAAGCATGGCAAAGGGGGTATACTGTGCAAGGGGTGGGGGATAGGGTAGAGGTACAAGTATGCTGTGGAGAGGGTGAGGGTTAGGATAGATGTATTGGGTATACTGTGGTGATGGGAAGGATGGGGTAGGGTGATATGCTGTGAGGGTATGGGGGTTAGGATAGAGGTCGAGGTATGGGGTATAATGCGGAGGGGGGAGGGTGTTGTATGACGAAGGGGGATATGCTGTGGAGGGGGTGGGGATTAGGATAGATGGAGGTAGAGGTAGGAGGTATAATATAGAGAATGGGAGGGTGCTGTATGAGGAAGAGGGTATGCTATAGAGGGGTGGGGTGTGCTATGGAGAGGGTGAAGTATAGGTAGGGTAGGGGTATGCTGTGGTGGAGGGGAGGAAGGGGAAAGGGGATATGCCGTAGAGGGGATGGGTGGGTCTACTGTGGAAGGGGGGCGGGAATAGACTGTGGATGGAGTCGGGTATGCTGTGGGGGGTGGATCATTATTCTTGTTCTGAAAAACCCCTAAGAACAATACAACTGCCTGCAATATTGAGTTGCTTTGCTTGTATCACGGCTAGTGTTATAGAGTAGCAGGTTTGAGAACAGAGCTATGGTCTATAACGGCCCATTCACTTCACTCGATCACCCCGCCATTTTTTTTCCGACTCATTTTTTTAAAGAACGCCTCACCTATTTTTGGACAATTAATGCGTCATCGATAATAAACAGAACAGTTCATCCACGACGTAATTGATTAAGTTAATCAAAAAGTTAATTAAAAAGTTGATCAAACAGTTAATCAAAAGTTCAGGCTACAGGCTATTCACGAGTTAATCAACGAGGGCAAAAAAAAAAAAAAAAAACATAAAAGTAAAGTTCCCTTTTGGAACCTGATGGTTCATGGGGCAAGTAAAGGAGAGTTCAAAACAAACATAAGCAACCCATTAAAGAAATTATACTTAGCGAAGAGTTAAAAGAAAAGACAAATAAACAACTATTAAGAAAATAACAAGCGAGTTTTTTTTAATATACAAATAATAGACTCGTGTAAATAATTTAATGAGCCTCAAAATATAATAATAAATAAATAAAATAAGCGTCTCGTTAAAAATTGACTTGTTTGAAAAAAATTGAGATTTGTTTGAATAATTTTAAGAAGGCGAATCGATACAATGAAATTAGTGCATTGTCGCTATAATAAAGACGTTATATAAAAATAGTGCCTTGTGAGTACAGTAAAGAAGAAGTATTAAAATAGTTGTAGGTATAGTTAAGAAGTTGTATGAAAATAGTTGTGGCAACAGTAAAAAAAAAAAAAAGAAGTTATAGGCTAGAGTAAAGAAGTTGTATGAAAATGGTTGTGGCTATAGTAAAGAAGTTGTATGAAAATAGTTGTGGCTATAGTAAAGAAGTTGTATGAAAATAGTTGTGGCTAGAGTAAAGAAGTTGTATGAAAATAGTTGTGGCTATAGTAAAGAAGTTGTATGAAAATAGTTGTGGCTATAGTAAAGAAGTTGTATGAAAATAGTTGTGGCTATAGTAAAGAAGAAGTTATTGGCTAAAGTAAAAACAAATTGTATGAAAATAGTTGTGGCTATAGTAAAAAAGTTGAATGAAAATAGTTGTGGCTAGAGTAAAAAAAAGTTGAATGAAAATAGTTGTGGCTAGAGTAAAAAAAAGTTGTATGAAAATAGTTGTGGCTATAGTAAAGAAGTTGTATAAAAATAGTTGTGGCTATAGTAAAAAATTTGTATAAAAATAGTTGTGGCTATAGTAAAGAAGTTGTATGAAAATGGTTGTGGCTATAGTAAAGAAGAAGTTATTGGCTAAAGTAAAAACAAATTGTATGAAAATAGTTGTGGCTATAGTAAAAAAGTTGAATGAAAATAGTTGTGGCTAGAGTAAAAAAAAGTTGAAAAAAATATTTGTGGCTAGAGTAAAAAAAAGTTGTATGAAAATAGTTGTGGCTATAGTAAAGAAGTTGTATAAAAATAGTTGTGGCTATAGTAAAGAATTTGTATAAAAATAGTTGTGGCTATAGTAAAGAAGTTGTATGAAAATGGTTGTGGCTATAGTAAAGAAGAAGTTATTGGCTAAAGTAAAAACAAATTGTATGAAAATAGTTGTGGCTATAGTAAAAAAGTTGAATGAAAATAGTTGTGGCTAGAGTAAAAAAAAGTTGTATGAAAATAGTTGTGGCTATAGTAAAGAAGTTGTATGAAAATAGTTGTGGCTATAGTAAAAAAAGTTGTATTAAAATAGTTGTGGCTATAGTAAAGAATTTGTATGAGTGACCAATGAAATCATTTACAGCAGGTCACGTGTCTGGCTGAGTTCTTCCAAGATGACACGGTGTTCCTGGCCTGTGGGCTGGAGAAGGTCACGTCTGCTGATTTTAATTTGGACAAGAGAGGTAGGGAAGACAGACGGACCAATAGACAGACAGCCAGACAGACCAGAGGCGTAGCGACCCTTCCCGGCGCCCGGGGACAAACTTTTCGATTTGTATCCCCCCCCCCTCAAGATTTCGATTTGCACCCCCCCCCTTCCCCTCAAACTTTCGATTTGCACCCCCCCCCCCCTCAAACTTTCAATTTGCACTCCCCTCAACCTTTCAATTTATTTTTCCAACCCATTTTGGCGCCCCCTAAGGTCGGCGCCCGGGGACATATGTCACCCCCCGCCCCCCCCCCCCCCCTCGCTGCGCTACTGAGACAGACACACGTGAAGGTAGACAGATGGACGGACTAACAGAGAAACAGGGAAGCAGACAGACCGACAGACGAACACACAGATGTAAAGTCACAGATAGAGAAAGACATACCGGCAGACGATAAACGATAAACTAGCAAAAACATCGGCAGACGGACGGACCCTAAAAATAAACAAACACATGGTCAGAGTAGCATGCATCTCTTCGGGAGGGCACCCCCCCCACCCCTACCCGCAACGAAATGAAATTTTCTTATACAAAATATTTACTTCAAACATTGTCCACCTTCCCCAACCCTCGCCCGGAAAGCTAAAAGTGCCCCACCACTCCCCAGAAGAAAAATGTCTAAAAGAAACACTACCTAAGGTCAGTTGGATAATGAAAAATAAACTGCCATGTTGCCAGATAGACAGATATACAAACAACACCACCTTCCAACAAAAGTCGAATCAGACGAGCTGTCAATAGGTGTTCCATTATGCTAATTTCTTTTTATCTCGTGGGAAAAGATTTGTAAACACGTTCCCTTTCTACTGCAGAGATTTGTAACGTCAGTGCTTACCGCCCCTTCACTGGGAAACATAAGGAACGGGTCACACTGAGGAAAAACTCAGAGTCCTCCATATCCAAATCTTCCGGTAAGGGAATGTGTGTGTGTGAGTGTGTGTGTGTAGGTGTGTGTGTGCGTGCGTGTGTACGTGTGTGTATGTGTGTGTGCGTGAATGCGTGTGTGTGCAAATGTGTGTGACAGATTGTTTGTGTATATATGTGTGTGTGTGCGTATGTGTATGTGTGTGCATGTGTAAGTATATGTGTGCGTATGTGTGTATAATTGTAGGCTTGACATGTTCGTGGGTGGTACAGTACGGTACACTCGTACTTTGCTGTCACTAGTAGAGTGGTCTAGAGGTAGCACGCGCCACCTTGATTCAGGGGGTTAGGGGTTCGGTACCCAGGTTCGAAACCGCAGTGCATCCATGAATCGGAGAGGTGAATGCCTTGTGGAGACAATCACTTCTAATCCTCTTTGGGCAGCTAATATGTTACTTGCATTTCTTAATGTATTGCAGTATGTATAAGTGGTTGTGTTGCAATGTAGGTAAATCCTGTCCATGTAAGAATACGTTTTATAAGTACCTAAAATATGCTTCATGTAAACTTTTGTAATGGCCCTATGGTGAAGCAATGAAGTGTGTTTTGTTTATTTTGTAACCACGACATATTCGAATTTTGTTGGACCGTTACGTTTAATGCCTACGATACGTGTACTGTACTTAATCAAAATGTGTCACAATTAGAAAACCAAATGTAGTATAATTGAGCCACTTCCTGTTATCGGAAATCGCTGAAAAGTTGATACAGAACTTCAACGTCGATATAATATTTATATATGAAATTTCATCAACCTAGCTGTAACGGTACTCAGGTTATTGTGTTCAGAGACATATATATATATATACATACATACACAGAGACAAATGCACAACACTGGAAAACTTTGTTTTTCCGACTCAGGGAGGGGCAAAACGTCGAGATTTATGAAAATCTCGATTTCGATTTTTTGCACGCTTACAATTATATCCTCTATACTTCGTATACGAGAAAGTAAAAAATAAAAATAAATTCTCATTCAGATACGTGTACTGTACCAGGTTCTCTACTGAATAAAATTATATTACTTATTCAACGATGACCTGTTACATTGAATGTTATCTCCTTCCAGCAGGAAACACCACACCAACCTTCTCATCAGCTATGGCATCGTCAAAACACAACACTGATGGTAAAATAGCGACACTGGCGGTGAGTGCTCTATAGATCCTGCTTCTCTTGTCTCTCCTGCTGTTTCCAATACTCACTCCTTTCACGTCCAAGCAGTATTTCTTCCAGACCTTTTTCTCCGGGGGTGCACTCGATATTTTCGGGGGGTAGGGGGGGGGGGCGGACAACATTGTTCTCCGGGGGTGCACTCGATATTTTCGGGGGGGGGGGGGGTGGGGGGGGCGGACAACATTTTTCTCCGGGGGTGCACTCGATATTTTGGGGGGGGGAGGGGGCGGACACTGCTAAAAGTATATGTTTTCTATATAAATTCCATTTCGTTCGGGGGGGGGGGGCGGTAGACTTTCTTTGGGGGAGGGGCCGAAGAGATGCCTGGAAGAAACTCTGCGTCCAAGCAACATTTTGCTGTCGTATCATAAATCCCACTAAATAGACTTAAAGTAAAAAAGACATTTTCATGCCCATTAATCTTATCAGCCATGCCTGTGATGTCTAAATCAAAGCATTCAAATTAAGTTCTGTTAAAATTCCACATTTTTATCTTTAAACCAATTACCAGTCTGATGAAAAAGCAGACGGCAGTGAAAAATTTGGTGAGTAGACATTTCTTTAATTAAACAACGCCCCCCCCCCCTCCCCACACCCTCCCTCTCTTAACAGATGGGAACATTTTTAGCCTTAGATCATGGAACGTCGTGGTCGGGCATTAGAGCGTTTAGTCATTAGCCCAGAAGTCTTGAGTTCGTGTCTAGGGCTTGAATCTGTAAGAGGTCCCTGAGTCCACTCAGCTCTGATGAGTACCTGATTCACGTTATGAAAAGTAAAGATGTGGTCAGAAAATGCATCTGCCCGGAAAACTCTATAAACTCAGACAACAAACAAAAGTCAACACTTTTCTTCTCAATAGACTAAACTGAAGTAGTGTTCAGTTCATTGTTCAACATTACAAATGAAATTGGAAACGTTTATTTCGCAGGGGCAAATATTAACAATTATAGTCTTAACATAAGCCCATTCTTGCCTATTTATTGTAGCGAATTAGCTAAATTTGAACCTAATCGAGCGTTAACCTAAAAAGTTATTTTTATGAGTTGTTGAATTTTAATTGTTCCCTACAATTAAATTATTATAATACGTAGATCGATAATAAATAAATAGCCCTACCATTCTAGATTTCTGTATAGATTTTCTGTATAAGTAATCTAACCAAAAGTGAACATAATCATTGGTATGAGAGTTGCAGATGGAGTTCTGTTTCTTTGGCAATGGCATATAGGCGCCTACATATATTATGTGGCCAATTAAACCACAGGCCTTTATAGCATCTATGTTCTATAAGTCTTAGTATATCACACCCTTTTAAATAAACAATTACAGTAAAAAATAAAACAAATTGTTTTGTTTTTTACTTTTTTCTTCCAATTACAATAGTAGTATAACATATACTGTTTTACTAACATTAGAAGTATAAGACACTGTCCCACTCTCTCGGTGGATGTCGACAATGAAATACTGACTATTCCACTTAAGATCCATAACGAACATACTAACACAAGCCTCGCGACGCTAACAATGCCTTTCCCCTAGACATATCACAAGTCGATATGCCCTATGCTTTGACCAACAAGTACGATATAGGAAATATGATCGGTACAGGGAACTTTGCGGTGGTTTTAGAGTGCAAAGACAAGTAAGTTAGTGTGGTGGTGGTGTTTGGGTAGGTGTGGTGGTGTTTGTCGTGTGGTGGTGTAGTGGTGTTTGTGGTGTGTAGGTGTGGTGGTGTTTGTGGTGTGTAGGTGTAGTGGTGTTTGTGGTGTGTATGTGTGGTGGTGTTTGTGGTGTGTAGGTGTGGTGGTGTTTGTGGTGTGTAGGTGTGGTGGTGTTTGTGGTGTGTTGGTGTGAGGGTGTTTATGGTGTGTAGGTGTGGTGGTGTTTATGGTGTGTAGGTGTAGTGTTGTTAGTGCTGTTAGTGGTGTGTAGGTTGGTGTGGTGGTGTTTGTTGTGTATTGGTTTGGTGGTGTATGTGGTGTGTAGGTGTGGTGGTGGTGTTTGTGATGTGTAGGTTGGTGTGTAGGTGTGGTGGTAGTGTTTGTTGTGTGTTGGTTTGGTGGTGTATGTGGTGTGTAGGTGTGGTGCTGTTAGTGGTGTGTAGGTTGGTGTGGTGGTGTTTGTTGTGTGTTGGTTTGGTGGTGTATGTGGTGTGTAGGTGTGGTGCTGTTAGTGGTGTTAGTGGTGTGTAGGTTGGTGTGGTGGTGTTTGTTGTGTATTGGTTTGGTGGTGTATGTGGTGTGTAGGTGTGGTGGTGTTTGTGGTGTTTAGGTTGGTGTGGTGGTGTTTTATGGTGTTGTTTGGTGTGGTAGTGGTGTGTAGGTGTGGTGGTGTTTGTGGTGTTTAGGTTGGTGTGGTGGTGTTTTATGGTGTTGTTTGGTGTGGTGGTGGTGTGTAGGTGTGGTGGTGTCTGTGGGGTGTTGTTTGGTGTGGTGGTGGTGTGTAGGTGTGGTGGTGTTTGTGGTGTGTTGTTTGGTGTGGTGCTGTTTGTTTTGTTGTTTGGTGTGGTGGTGTTTTGTGTATAGGCGTGTGTTGGTGTTTGATGTGGGTAGGTTGGTGTGGTGGTGTTTGTTGTATGTCGGTTTGTTTGTTGGGTGGGGTGGGGTGGTGACCTTTGCTGTTTGTAGGTTGGTGTGTTGGTGTTTGTGGTAGGTGGTGTGTTGGTATTCGTTGTAAAGTGTTATATCAAAGTTTGTTGTTTGTAGGCTGGTGTTTGTTTTTAGTTAAGGCGTTTCTCTTTCCACTTTTCTGTTAATGTGTATTTATGAAAATATGGGCTCGACTGTGAGACTGTGACGTTGATTGTATGTATGTGTCATCATTGTGGTTAATGTTTCCCGTTTTGTTGATGTCTAGTTGGGATTTTTTACTCGTATGCTTGGCAAGTATGCTTGTCGCTATCTACTTCATTTATGTTATATTTATTTCATTTATGTTACATTTATTTCACTTATGTTATATTATCATTGTTTTGAAAAAGTATTTAAAACATTTCAGAAAAACACAGAGAAAATATGCTCTTAAAATAATAAACAAAGAAATATGTAAAGGAAAGGTAAGTTTATATATTGATGTTAGTTGGTGACCAGTCATATGATATGATAAATATTGTCTTATGTTACCAGATTGTCTGATGTATATTGCTGACAGTCTCTTTCATATTGTTATAGTTTTATTCTGTCTAATATCTGTTGTTATGATTTCTGTCTGCCTACTGTATTGTTACAGTTTCTACCTGTTTACTTTATTGTAATAGTTTCAGCATTTCTACTGTGCATTGTTATAACGTCTCCTCTGCCCCTAACACAAACAACAGCAGCCATCTTGTATCCCTACAGGAGAAAATGATCGATAACGAAGTTAGGATCCTACGCTGTGTCAAGCACCCCAACATTATCAGGCTAGTTGAAGACTATATGAACCAGCATCAGATCTTCTATGTCATGGAGCTCGTCAAGGTAAACTTGTCGCTTGTAGCAACAGTAACCATGGTGATAACAGGTCCTCCAGAGTGTCACAATAACTTGAATAAGCTGAATAATAAGCAAGTATGGAGTGCACGACAAAAATTACATATATATATATATATATATATATATATATATATATATAATATATATATATATATATATATATATATATATATATATATATATATATATATATATATATATATATATATATATATATATATATATATATATATATAGTGTATGTGTGTGTGTTTGCGTGTTTGTGTGCGTGCGTGCGTGTTTGTATATATAACTATACATGAGTAAGGGAATAAGCATCGAAGATCTACCCATAGTTCTGTACAATTATACAATAACCCCCTTAACGCCAACGGTCGCTAAAACGCGAAATGCCATTTTCTATTTAGATAAGAATTTATTATATTATACAGTTTAAAAATAAAATTACAAATATTCAAAAGACAGGTCTTTTTTTTTCACGTTTTTTTTTGGGGGGGGGGGACGCTAAGCCACAATTATTGTAGCCACCACCCCCCCCCTCCCCCCATGTTCCGCCAAAAGAGTTAGAATGAGCTCACTCTACCATACAACAGTAACCTGTCCATCCCCATCTCAGCACTTACCCACACTCTGCTTGTGTTTCACCCCCCAGGGTGGGGATCTGTTTGATGCCATCGCCTCCTCCAGTAGCAAGTACACGGAACAAGATGCTAGTGGTATGCTCTACAACCTGGCCAGCGCCCTCGAGTACCTGCACTCCCTGCACATCGTGCATCGTGACGTCAAGCCGGAAAATATACTGGTGAGTTGTTTTTTTTACACCACTAGTACTTGGTTAATGGTCTATAGCAACGGCTTGCCGGAAAATATACTGGTAAGACTTTTTACACTTGGCATAATGTCCATAGCAACGGCTTGCCGGAAAATACACTGGTAAGATTTTTTACACGTGGCATAGCGTCCATAGCAACGGCTTGTCGGAAAATACACTGGTAAGACTTTTTACACTTGGCATAGTGTCCATAGCAACGGCTTGTCGGAAAATATACTGGTAAGACTTTTTACACCACCCGTACTTGATGAAAGGTCTATAGCAAACGCTTGCTGGAAAATATACTGGTAAATCCACATTACATGGCTAATTGTGTATCACGGTGGTAAGACGGAAAATATTCTGGTAAGACATTTTAAACCACTGATACTTGGCATAGTTTCCATAGCAACGGCTTGCTAGATTATATTAAGACGTTTTAAACCACCAAAGCTTGACATAGTTTCCATAGCAACGGCTTGCTAGATAATATAAAGACGTTTTAAACCACCGATACTTGACATAGTTCCCATAGCAACGGCTTGCTAGATAAATCATCTCAAATACATTACTGATTTTGCCTTGAGATATTATGTCTGAGATCATTTGTCCATGATATCATTTGTCCTGATATTTTTTGTCCTGGTATCTTTTGTCTTGGGGTCATTTCTCCATGAGATATTTTGTCTGAGATCATTTGTCATGGAACCAGAACTGGCGGGGTTCGTTGCCTCCAAAAAGGTTAAGAACCACTGCATTAGACTATCTAATCACACAAATTAAAAAAAAACATTTTGTTGAATCATCAGACTTATATTTGTTTTTTCTAAAGAAAAGTTTAATTTCGTTAATGTAACTATCCCCTTGCTTTAGCTTGTGTGAAGCCATGTCTTATTTCGCCTGAATTTGATTGGTCTCTAAATTTAGATTCGACAACACGATGATGGCTCCAAGTCGCTCAAATTGGGGGACTTTGGACTGGCCATTGAGGTCAAAGGTCCGCTCTACACCGTGTGTGGTACCCCGACATACGTTGCCCCGGAAGTGATCGCTGAAACTGGGTATGTAGTTTGTAGACAACTAATAAGTTCCTTACAGTGTAATTTCTTACCTTGGAGAGGGGGGGGGGGGGGGGGGGCATAATTACGTCACTTTTGATTTTTCCCGATTTTTTAAACCCCTCCTCACTGTCCCACTCATCTTTACTAAAAGTCAGACCCCTCCTCTAGCAGTGTGGCGTCGTTTAACTTGTGTTTTAACATTTTAATTAGGGAATAATTAAAATGTGTGACACTCCCGAAGAGGCGTAGCGACCCTTCCCGGCGCCTGGGGACAAACTTTCGATTTGCACCCCCCCCCCCCTCAAACTTTCGATTTGCACCCCCTCAAGCTTTCAATTTATTTTTCAAACCCATATGTCTCCCCCCCCCCTCCGCACCCCCTCGCTACGCCTATGCACTCCCGGCAAGAGGATTTTAAAAAACTTTTGTGAAGATATGTGACAAATAGAAAAAGGTTCATTACAGTCTGTCATATTAAAAGGAATTCAATTTCTGCAGTCGTTTGCAAATTTATTTATTTGTAAACTGATTAATGCACCTTACCTCACTGGCAAAAGTGTGAAAAATTGTCTGAAAACCCAGTCTTTCTTTAGTATTGAGGGGCTTCCGCAAAGTTATAGCATCTAGTGGATATTTTGGTATTTTGTGAGTCGCTAAATTAAATTAATTAAATAGATTGCATTTTAAAATAATCGGGATGATCGTTTTAAAATGCAATTTAAAAAAAAAATTATAAATGATTTTCTTCTCCTCAGCTACGGTGTGAAAATAGACGTATGGTCTGCTGGGGTGATAACATACATCCTTCTATGTGGCTTTCCACCTTTTTCAAGGTAGGACCTGATATTTTTACTGTGATACTCGACATATACTACGTTAGATAACTCTAGTTTACACACTAGTTATTTGATCTCGCCTCGCTATTACAATACATTATCTCCCTTGATTTAATTTTTTTTAGTGCAAATGATAATCAAGATGAACTGTTTGACATGATAATGACAGGAAATTATGACTTTGTCAGCCCATATTGGGATGATGTAACACCATCAGCTAAGGTGAATTTTAAAATTCATGAACCTAAAAAAAAACAATGCACAAAAGTAAAAAATAAAATATATTAAAGGCTAAATATTAAATAAGGGGAATGCCTGTTTAAAAAAAAAATATTTTATTATTTAGCATAATGGCATAAATAGAATTTATATTCTAGACTGTATCATATGGTCTATGAAAATGTGATATGGGATAAATATGGGATAGGTGGTAGGTATAAAAACTATACTATGTATAGTGGTCTATGAAAATGTTTGATGGGGTAGGTAGTAGGTTTTAAAGTGTCATATTTTTGTGTTACACAATCTGTACACAGTCCATTGTGTGATTCTCTTTTCCCCCAGAGTGTAATTTCAGGAATGCTAGAAACAGATCCTGAAATTCGTTTGACAGCATCACAAGTGTTGGAACACAAATGGGTGGCTGTAGGTTTTAAAACAAGTTTCCTTTCTTTTGTAAAGTTGGACTTAATTAATTTTTTATGGCATCTATCGGCTTATTATCTTTTCCAGTTAGTACCCAAAACACATAGGGCAGATGCAGTGGCATAGCTAGGATTTTCTGGCCCCTATGCAAAAAGTGCTAGTGGGCCCCTCAGAGGCGTAGCGACCCTTCCCGGCAACAAACTTTCGATTTGCACCCCCCCCCCCTCAGACTTTCAATTTGCACCCCCCCCCTCAAACTTTTGAAAAAGGGCCCCTATTTGCCTTTGGCCCTATGCCTTGCTTACGCTAGCTTTACGGTAGCTACGCTACTGGGCAGATGAAGTAGAGCTCATCTGCTTCAGAGAGCTTGGCATATGAAGGGATAGTGTGGTCAGCTAATTAAAATGTATGAGTATGATTTATTTAATTTCATACATATTCAGCACAATATTAAAGCATTGAATGATTTGGATCCATACATATTAAGAACACTTAAATTCATGAGTTATTTAACTTACATACACATTTAGTACTCATTTAACATGTTTACATATAATTTTGATGAAGCTAAACAGCAATGCTTAATATCAGGGGTGAGGTAAGGATTGGAAATTTCCACTAGGCCCTTAAAACAGCTGTGAAAATCCTACAACATATCACGTAGAAGTGTATGAAAAATATAATTTTATGTCCACCATTATCTACCCATCACCCTTACTCACCAGCTATTAATGCGTCAGAGTGTAACTTATGTGGGTTTTTTTTATTTTAGAGTGACACATATTACTCCGCGGATCTACGTAAAAAGGTGTCATCAGGCCTCAGTTCCTACTTTAGACGAGCCCCAAAGTCGTCACAAAAATATGCAGGAATTAAGATCATAGCAGTAAGACACCAAGAGAACAATTATTTGATCCATTTTTTTTCAATCTGTATTTTTACATCGCTTATCATTATTAGCATATCATTAGTTTTAAGCAGGCTTAATAAGGACTTTTAAGCTAGAACTAAGTTGTTTGGGTCAAAAGTTGATTAAAAGGTAGGCTTTTTGTGCTAGATGTCTAATAGTGATTTTTATCTGGTAATCCTGTTGAATAATTGTTCCATAAAAACATTTCAAACATGAGATCCATCTTTTTAAATTAACAAATTGAATAATTCAAGAACTTGTTTTAATTATTTCTTTAAATAACCAGACTTTCATACTTCATGTACACTTAATGTCATTCCATATTTTGAAAATTATTCAATTTTTCATACCTGTGATCTGAACATCAGGCATAAATGTTCAATTTCTTAATTTTGTATGTATATACATATATAAAATGTCATTCACAATCTAATAGCTGACTGTTTCTTTCACCTGACAGTCGACCGCCTTAGATAAAGCATCGAAATTTTTTCAAGGACGAGGAAAGCCTTATGACAAAAGAAAAAACGATTTCTAAAAATAGTTCGTGCTTAGTCATACCTGGACACCCACCTGTCTCCTTGTGGACCTAATTTGAAAACCCACCTTCCTCCATGAAAACCCACCTTCCTCCATGCAACACTCTGTAAAGGAAAACCCACCTTCCTTGGTGGATGTATGATTGAAAGCAAGCACTTCTAAATGGATATTCTTACAAATAAAATGCACCAATTTCTTCATGGATCTAATTAGAAATCATTTATCGTTATGGACTTTCTTACAAGGAAACTCCACCTGACTACTGAAAAATGAAGTTTCTTCGCAAATCTATACAAAGGTTCATCAGTCTACGTAGGCATTCTTATAAGGAAACCCAACTTGTGTTGAAGTTAGAAAATCTGGAACAAAATAAGCACCTGTAGCAGAGCATATAAACATAAAACACCTTCGAGCATATATCATGAAAACTAATAAAGAGCATAAGCATACGTACTATGTACGTTACTTTGTCAGAGCATAAGCCATATCCCCTTGTGAGGCGTCTATGGAAAGGCAGTACGGCAGTTAATGTTATGTCTTGATCTGGAACCGTCTCGTAAAACACATTGTATAACATTGAACACTGTATGAGAGTAGGCGATTCATCAATAAAAGAATAAGAATATTTCATCACCATCTCCATTTAACCATTTTTTTACTTGCAAATGCAAGGTTGAATGTTGTGATTAAACTAATTACTTAGTTCTAATCTGGTTAAAATCTTTTTCTTTTTATTTTAATACACTTCTTTCTTTGATCGGGATTTAACCCAGTAATTACAGAATTAATTTGCTACAAAAATTGACAATGAATAATAGTCAATGGTCAGGGTGGGACGGTAACTAATTGGCTGTTCATTTTGTGAGCTTACAAAAACTTCAGCTTTTAATAAACTTAAATAAAATGCCAGGTAAAGAGGAAAAATGCAAGAACACAGTATGCCCCATACATTAAATTGCAGAAATATTAGCTTTAATTTTCAATCCCACATTAACATTATGCTAAATATGAAAAAAACATATTTTAGATACTTACAATTTACATTTCTAGATTCCAGGCATTTTTCAACCTTGCTCAGCAAGCTTTTCAATTATGAATATAAATGAATATTAATTTCAAACAAACCTTGGACACTGAACTTTTCTTCTTTACATGTGCTAAATATTCTCTATTGCCAGCATGTTGAACACACAAGTTGTATGAATAGATGTGTTGTTTCTATAAGCACTTGACATTACATTTGTAACAATTTGCAGACACATTGAAAACTTTGATATTGGAGTAACATGAAACTACACCTAGTTATTTTTTAAGTAACTACATTTTGCAGGTCATGCAAGAACATTTGGGCAATCTAAAACAGCTGGGTTCTTTGCTAACATTTGTTTTAATTGACCGTCATTGAAGTGGGCATTCATGTAGTTATGAACACCTTGGGATCAAATTAAACAATCCAATGATAAAAATGCAGCAACTGCAAATTTACCAACAAATTTTTCTGTAGGATACAAATGACACATTGTGATCAAAACTAACACAGTTCAAGGGTTAATATTTTAATTGTTAGATATTTGATGTAGATCTCAGCAAGTGGTAGCTTATTTTTAGGACTAATAAACAACCCAGTAACATTTCCTTAGACAAGAATAAATTTTAACCAAAACAATTTAGATTTTCAGCAGTTTTAATGAACACAATGGGAATTAGCAAAATGTAAAAATGCAATATATTAAAAAATAGTGTAGAATGTCTGTAACAAAATAAAATGTGAAAGATTTGAGTTTATTTAAAGTTAATCCAGGGAAAAAACGGGGGAACTAAACTTGAGAATTTAGACTTTTAAGATAAAATGTTTATAAAAATAGATTTTTACCCGTAAATACAATGGAATAGTCTGTTTACAATTTTCAATTGAAAATGAACCAACAGCAATCAGACTTGATGTAACATGATTTAGTCAAATTGTGAATCTCAATGTGAAAATAAGAAAAAGAAAAATAGGAAGTGGGTGTGTAGTGACTGTCACTTGTACAATAGAAAACCACAACCAACATGAAGCACCTTCTCTCTATGGTAACCTTACATCTCAAGCTCTTCCCGTAAGCAAATAAACGTGTAAGCAAAGCTGCTTTCAGTAATATCATGTAAAAAAATGATGTGAGTTAATAATGATGTTAGTAAAAATGATAGATGAATTACACAAAACAATACTAATGTAGGGATAAAGCTAGACATTTTTTCTTTTAAAAAATCTAACCAGATTATAAAAACACTTCAGAGTGAAAAATTGATAAGGACAGTTTCAATAACATTCCTTGCACAATAACACCACATTGAAATTGTAAATACAGTGTCAAATGAGGATTTATATGTATAACAGGAGTTAACAAAAAACTATTGAACATTCAAGAAATTTTTGAAAAAATCATTCCTTTAGTGTAAAACCCTCAAAAAAGAAAAATGACAAACTTAAGTTTTAGTGAGCTGCAAGTTTTTTGTCTGCCTCGACCAGCGCGACCCAGGTGTTCAACTGGCGAGCCCTGAGCTTTGACCAGATCATGTGGTCAGTTAGTGCCAGGATTTGTGCAGCGGCCAAAGCTGCTGCCTCAGGGTCTGTCACTGTGGTACATCCTAAACCTGGGGACAGGCAATGACATTAGCAAACACTTTACAACCAAGTAATGTATATTTAGTGCAGGGTAAAGCACACTTTAAACCACAGGTAATGTAGGACTAAACATCACAAAGTACAGAGTTAATGTAGGCTCAACACCTTGCATTGGGGACGGAGTGGCTTAGTGGTAGAGAGCTGGACTGCTAACCAGTAAGTCTCGAGCTCGAATGCGGGTTTAAGTCAGTAGACTGTCCCTGAATCCACCCAGCTAAGATGGGTACCCAACTCACATAAGGGTAAGTAAAGGCGGCTGGGCATAGTGCTGACCACACTATCCTTTCATATGCCTAGGTCACAGAAACAAGTGAACACTACTTCACTTGCCACGTAGACTGACAGGTTTGGAAGGGGAACTTTACCCCTTGCATTACCACTAACAACACCACTTTTAGGACTAAACAAACTATTACACACTAAGGCCACCCACCAATACCACACAGCCAATGGCAATGCCATCCCAAAGCACTATTATTGTAGTGCCACTCCCACAACAAAACTAGTTGCTGAACCCCGCCCGCCCCCCCCCCCCCGCCCCCCCTACACACACCAATTCAGCCTAAGACACACCACTGAACATTTACTGCCATAGCCACAAAAGGGCATTTTCTCCCAACAAATTACCAAAAAACACTCAATGTCCCCCACACTATCACCAGAAACCCTAAACAAACAGATCTAGGGACAGAAAATACTCAACCAAATACCCTTGCAGACTAAGTTGGTTATTTACTAGACCTTTTATTGTATTATTCATTATTCTGAACACATCACTGGTGTAAAATCAATAATGCTAATGATGTCACATCTGTATAAATACTTAACGTATGTTATGGATGAAGCTCATACAACTATAAACAAACACAAACCTGACGGCATCCTCAAGCTTGACCACACATCTTGGGCCCCCCAGTCAGGGGTCAGTGGCGGACAGTTGATGACAGGCCAGACTGTGTTGCCAGACAAAACTGGACCCAGGCCATTACTGCGGCCAGCAATAGCAACAAAAACTGTTGGGACGCCATCACCTAAACAAACCAAAATTACACAATTGAACATCAGCAACCTGGTGTGGTGTGTAACAGGGTTTTGCTTTAGCACTGTCCTTAAACATCTGTCCTAATCATATGTAACAACCTGATAACATGGATTTTAAATACTAACATTCTCTTCATAATCAGCTTGGTCAAGCTAACCTTCCTGCACCCTAGCTACTACAATATTACAAAACCATTTAGCTATAATAGTACTAATGGTAGTCTGTGCTGACTAATACATTTGCAGGTGCTGAAGTTCATGGACCATAACTAAGTCTGCCTGACATTGCTTCTTTTTACAGCTAATATGTTGGTTTTAAGTCAGCAGGACAATCATCCAGCTTTGATGGTTACACAGACATAGGTTAGGCTACAGAATCTTGAATTTAACTCATTAAGTACTCCACGGGTGCCAATATTGATACTTTCATGAATTTTATGGTAGTTGGGTTTTTTTGTAAATTCTATTAAAATGATATCTAATAAATCATTTTGATGATTTTATATTTTAAGTCCTGAACTATTTTCATGTTTCACTTGAATTATTTTTCCCCTCAAATTTTTACAGTATCTTTGCCACAAAACTTTATTTATAGCCCACATTACTAATATAAATGCGTTGAAGAGTTAAATAAGTTCTACAGCTTCTGTCTTTAAAAAAACGGGCAACTAGTAAGCTACAACTTGAACCAACCTTCATACTCTGCCAAAATCCTCCTAGTTTGTTCAGTCTGTTTGTGAGCTGAGGTGACACGTAAATCACAGGGAATTCCCAGCTCTGAGCAGGTTGATTTGATTTTGTCTCCATGCTTGCTGTCAGAGGCTGACCCCATGAAAACAACCACACGGCCCCTAGGTTGTGTGACAAGGTGCTGACAAAACCAGAAACAATTTTTAATTGCTAGTGCAATCAGTAGACATTTTTATAAACCTTTTAATTTGATAAAACAATGTAACTTATCTGATAAAGAAAGAAATGTTAAACTGTTAACACCAACAGATCAAATGATTTAATAATCATCATAAAGTGAATAATCATTATTAGGTCTTTGAAATTAAGGTCTACTCCCCTCCTCCCCCAAACCTAATAGGTGCCATGGTATCTTCAGAAAAGATTTTAGTGTGACCGTAACTCAAAATAGTACCTGCAGCTGGTCAGCGACCCACTCAAAATTACGCTTGACAGTGTCCAGTGCCTCTGAGGTGACCTCAGTAAGATTCCTGTACACCTGCTTGTCCTTCATCAACCTTTTGTCCCCAGATGGCCATAGACGCCATGAATCGCTGTCAATTATATCAGCCAATACGATTTCCCCTAGAACCAAATATAAAATTAGTTAACTAGGCCTACCTGAATACTATAAACAACTGGGGACTATTAAATTGTACAATAAAATAAAAAAATAATTTACATAGACAAATTTTATGATAAAAATGTTCAATTCTTATAGATCACCCAGCATGTTTTCAATAATATCTAGATTACAAAAATATTACTTCTAATTCCAAACTGTCTCCAAAACTTTAACAATCATCCCAGAATAAGGTAAGAAAATTTTGGATGATATTTAGAATCGACCCTTTGAATCCCGGACAGATCGTCCCCCCGGCGTGGCCTCAACCAACCGGCGGGCTCGTTGCATTGAGTTAAATATAAACTCAAAACAATAATATAAACAATCTCCTTTCGGTCGGTCAGGCCACATACCACGCACGCATAGTGTTGTGTGTCGTGCCTTAACCAAAATAAACTATCTCCCTTCATTATCATTAGATATATTTAATTAATTAATTAATTAATTTGCTAATTATAAAATTATGTATGATGCTATAGAAGTAGGTAAGTATATTTTTTTACTATGTATTTGTACTATTAAACATATTAAAGAACATCGTTGTTTCAATACCATCCTCTCCCCTTATTGAACTCAAAGTTAAACTTTTAACCCCGTTTGTAAAGACTAGCGGTATGCTGTAAGGCGGCGGGTGGGTAGGGTATATACTCATTGAAAAAAAAATCCACCGTGGTGCGTGTTATTGGCCTTGGGCCTTGGGTGACCGTTGTTGGCGCTTGCTGTGAGGGGGAGAGAGGTGTGTGTTATACTCGGTGAAAAAAAATGCACCGTGATATTGGCCTATGATGGCGTCGGCGCAAGCGGAAAGGGGTGGGAGGGGGGGGAGACGTTTTTTTTTTCAAAACCAAGAACTAGGCGTTTCAAGGCAGTAATGAAAATCAAGGACTGGTATAGCCATGTTGTCGAATATAACGAGTGATGCTTGCTTGGTCTATCATCATACGATTGCTTGGCGATGGGAGTCTCGTCAAGCTCAGGTTACATTATTAACAGTGAACTATTGGGATGCTGTCATGCACAAAGTAACAGCTACCGAATGTAGCACTTAAAACATCGAGTGCATCCCGCTCATTATAAATCTTTGAAATACAAGTTATGAATAGTCCAATAGGCAATAACTACTAATACTTGAAGGACTGTCAGAATATATGCATTGTATTATAAAATTAATCCTTACGATATAACTGAAATGTGCATCCAAATATGTTTAGGCTAATGGTATCTGCATTTAAATAAACAAAGTCAAATACCTACCCCATTCAGTAGAAATATTAGGCTACTTTTGCATGGCAGCACAACGACATTTTTTAGATTTTGTAATGAGTAGCCTAGTCATGCATTTAACTAGAATAAAGGGTTGTACTCAATAGCAATGACAATAATGAAATGCCGGCTTCAAATGCCGGCTTCCCCGTATTCTTCGACTAGAAAGACACCACCCTCCACCTTTTGCCTAGTTGAATATAAAGTTACACTTTCAACCCCGTTAGGATGCGTGAACTACTGGTGACGTAACTACTGAAAAAAATATATTCTGCTGTTAAATTCCCCTCCCCTACTCCCAGCATTTCACTTTGGGGCCATACACAACATCAGGAAGGTCTAGGTCGGTGTTTTATCTCGTGCAAGTTTACTCACAACACCACTACACACTACGGTTGTATCCAGGATTAGAGCTGCGACACTTACTTAGAGTGGGATTTATTCGTTAGATCATTGTGCTTCAAATTCTGTTTCATTTTAGGATTAGAGTGATAGTATGTTGGAATTCAGTTAGTTTGTTAATTAATATATTGATCTAATGTCGTGTACCATCAGAAACTAAATTTATTGGCAAGGCACATGTGTAGGCCGTGTAGGCTAAAGAATGACCTCTAGATCGAGCCAAAGATGGCTGGTTAAGGTTGACATACTGTGGTTTTCAAATTTCCTGGTGATGCTTTTCTAACGGATTTTATTTTGTGCTTTCTTTGGGATTATTTTGTGTGATGTGAATATTCAAAAGTAATTTGTAAGTAGTATGCTTTTCACATTCAACCAATTTAACAGTTTGCGGTCGATCTGCGGCCGGGCTGATTAATTTACATTTAGCGAAACTACACACTACACGGCGCCCTAAGGCCGTTGTTTCAGCATGCCCTACTAGTCAATTATAGACAACTTTAGAATCAACACATATAGCCAATACATCGATTTTTATTTAATAATCTTCAAAAGCCATTCCTCTAGGGTCGTTATTTTCACGAAATTGTCGTTTTCCAATTTGTTGTCAAGAAACTGGTATTTAGTTAACGAGAACGTACGAAAACCACTCATGCGTGACCGAAATCGTCGATCGGGTGCCTTCACGTGGTTTGACACGTGTTGACATGGGCCTTTGTTTACCTCGAAACATAGCTCAAAACAGCCCTTTTTTGAATTAATTCTTCGAAAAAATGGCTATGTCCATTTCTAAAAAGGGTCATTTTCGGGCCCATTTTAAAAAACGTAAAAAAATCCGAACTACACGTAGAAAAAATGGCTTTTTCGGCCCTTTTTAGCTCCAAAAACGCCGTGTTTACGGGTCGCGTGACGTCATCGTGACGTCAGCCGCCAACCAAAACGCGTTGAAAGCGCGCGTTTGATTGGTTGGCGGCGGATACTATGAAATATCAAGGGTTTTCTCTAAATTTTTACCAAAATTTTATACTCTTCTTTACTAACCCACTAACAAAGCCATTTTATATTTAATTATTTTTTACTCAAGCATTTAAATAAAACTTCACTTGTAATTAAACATCTTTAAATAAACCAACCACATAACACGGAAGACACCACATAGAAATAAAGCCAGGCATTCATCATAAACAGTTAAATCACCTGTGCCATCAACTACACCAAACTCAATTTTCATATCAATGAGGCTGCAGTTCAACGATGCCCAGATTTTCTCCAAAATTTCAAAGATGGTAACTGTCATCTTCTCCATGACGTGAAGCTCATTGGCGCCAATAGTGACTCCAGCAAAGTTCATCTTAGCGGCCACACATTGCTCAAATGACCACTGAGGATCATGGTTGGCATCATCCTAAATGTAAAAAAAAAAAATGTTACCTACTAATTAATTAAAATTAAATTAATTAAAAGTAAGTTTAAAAGTTTTAATTCTTATAAAAATATACAATTACTAATGATGGTATATTTCAAACAAAAAAAAATTAATTATGATAAAAATTAAAACTACCTTAAAATTAATTATGACTAAAATTAAAACTACCTTGTAAAATGTCTCAAGCTTGGGGGGACAGAATCTATACCCCTCCTCAACACCAGCATTACGTTTTAAGAAGGAGCCAGTGGCCACTCTGCGAGTGACCCACTCAATGGGTATCATGTGACATTTGAGGGCAATAAATGACCTCTCCTCATGTGGCTGAATGAAGTGGGTCCTAATGCCTGAAAACAAATTTGTATTCAATGTAATCGTATAAATTTGCATATAAAGTATTCAAATAAATTTTTAAAAATTGATTAAATGTATTACAAATATATTTGTATTGAATGTATTACAAATGTTATCAATATCAAACAGGCTATTATCTGCCTACCTGCATCATTAAGAAGCTTAAAGACAGCTGCAGCTGTGGATGTCGAGATCTTGGCTTTGCCAGCCATATCATGAGCTCTAGCTCCATCACCAGCAGTAATTCTATCTTTAGATTCAACTAGAACTTTGCCAGGATGGCTTTCAAGATCATAGATTATCTTTGTCTTGCCTTCAATTACTTTGGCTCCCAGCTTTAAATCTGCGTACCCTTTGAAAATATAAAACATGAACACTGGTACATACATAATACATAAACTGAACTCATCTTAGTTTCATCTATATCTATAACTATTTGAAAACCACACAAATAAAATTCATACTGTAACAACAGTGACAGTAACAGCCAATGTCCATAAGAGAAAATCAGTTAAATCAATAGCTCAATAAAATAAAAAATATTAGGCCTAGATTTAGGCTTAACTTAAAATTTAAAAGGGGGTGTTGTTCCGTCAATTTTTATTTCACACACACAATTACAATACTAATAAATCCTATTCAATTCAAACTAATAATAATTGTTACTAGATTTTCTAGATCTAGATCTATTAGGCCTACATGAAGTTTTAATCCAAGACTTAAGAAAATTTAAGCCATTTGATTTCAATGATTTGATAAAATTTGATTGCATCATTCTTCAATCGACAATCATTCATCACTCATTGAATCAATTTTTTTTTGTCACAAGCAAGTCAAACTTCATTACTAAATCTAATCATTATTTTAGAAATCTTTGAAATAAATTCTTAAAATTGTTACCTGACATTATTCGCAAGCTAGCTAGATCTAGACTAGATTCTAGTTTTAATCTTAAGTCTACTTCTCTCCGTAGCCTAGTCGAGACTACTTTAACAAGTGTTCACTGACTCGTGCGTGCTTAGGGTCCTACACAGAAGCAGGATTTTAAGTTATTGTTTACTACGCGCTTCAGAATTCAAGAAAGCATGTTTCCGCAAACAGGATTGCCAACTATGCAATTTTCCAGGCCAAATATATGTCTTTTGTTATACTTTTCGTAATTACAAAAACCGATCAACATACACTAAACAAAAAGTACAACATTTAAAAGGTACTTTAATTGAAATCAAATTGATTAAAATTTAATTTAATTTGTAAGCTCTAGACTAGGTTCTAGGTCCATTTTGTAAATTTTATTTTGAAAACTTGATTTGAATTCTGATTAATTTAAAATCCATGCCGTACTGCATGCAGTTACAAATGCACATTCGTCGCTTCGACAAAGAGATCGTGTATTTAAATAATCTTTAAACTTTTATGAATAGTAAACATAAAGACTAATATTACAAGATTCTATACAAATTTCCATGTAATGTCTCCACTAATCTTTACACTAAAATCCCAAATTTTAATCTGGTCAAATAAGCTTCACTTTCGCTTTAATCAAAACTTGTTGACGGTAAGTTGTGCATGCGTTCGCCGTTCTGTTAATGTTACGCATAACAGAGAGAAATAACATTCCAAACTAATTAACTAGAATCTAGATCTAGTAAATACATTAGTACAGCGACAGATTGTTCAGTTAAATTATAATACAATAGAACTAGATTGTTATAATAAAAATATTATTTTTTTTAGTTCGAGTTATCACTCAATCCAATCAGGAGTCAATCACGCTCATCAGTCATCACTCAGCACGGTAGTGACGGTACTTGTCAGTACTCTTGACTTGAGTACGCAGCACTCCTCAGACATCATTCACGGCATAATCCTTCTTTAATCTTTAACCTTCTTAAAAAATCTTAGGGCGCCTTAGTAAAATAATTATTAATTATTTGATCATAATTTTTTTTTAAATTTATTTGTTTGTATTTTACTATTTAGCAATTTACTATTGTTGGGTGATAGTCTAGTAATTAATGTAATAGATCTAGTAGTAGATCTAGATCTAGATTCTAGTAAGATTGAATTGTCTTGGCCACACTCAACTGTCACACTGTCACTTGACTTGGCAGTTGCCAAAAAATACTAACTAGGACCGCTGACGTTCTATCAAGTTGTCAATGAGAGCCTATTGCCTGCTCTGCTGTACTGAGTGTACTCAGTTCGGTAGTTACACTGTTACTGTTGCTTTATTTGCCTTCATGCTGAAGTAACTTTACTGGAGTGTAGTGTAGGCTTACATAATTTTACTGTGGCATGTAATTGTAACTTTGAATTGTAAATCTTAATTTTAAGTCTAGTATTTTGTGAAGTTTAAGAAGAACAAGGCCTAGAACTAACGGTAATCTATCGTTTTGGGTACGTAAAATCGCCCGCGGCTAAAAATTTGCGAAAAAGTTACCTCACTGTCAAGGCTTTAATATTGTAAAATAGAGTTGCCTTCCCCTGAATCTCGCTATAAGTTTGCAAAAAAAGAACTTAATCTAGATCTAGATGGCTGCTAAAAAATGTTGGAAACATCGCTAGTCTTCATTTATTACTGAAAAGTTTTAATTCAGTTGTTTAAAAACAGGTACATAAATGAAACAAAGAATCATTTTTGTATTTTTCAAAACATAAATCCTCCTCAAAATGTGAAATAATTATTAAAATTCAAGGAGTCACCTGTCTTTCACATTACTAGTCGCGGGCGATTTTACGTACCTAAAACGATAGATTACCGAACTAACTATGTCTATATAAATTGGTTATTAAGCAGCCATGATTATAAACAGGCTACTATAGTGATGTCAGTGAACAGCTTCATTTAATTGAATCATTTATTTTTCCTAGGACTACTTTCCAGAAAATGAGTGAACTGCTGACTTTCTTTCAACACCCTGGTCTCACCACCCAGCAACTTCAGGGTCTGACTGAAAAAATCAACTCTGTTCTTGGAGACAGTGGTCTCACCTACTCACTAGACACAGAAATTTGTTACTATATAGAGGCTGACTCTGAGGGTAATATATTTTTCATGATATATTTTGTGGTCTTTTTAGACAATTAACATCAAAATGAAAAATAGTCAAGTACAAGCCCTTTATGCTTTTTTAAATTTTATTTAGTTAGCTTGTGTAGTAGTGTGAATACAATGACAATCACAATGAGTTAAACTGTTTAACTTTAAATCAATTACATTTAATTTTATTGTTAGATTTTTTTTATAATTACATTTAATTTTATGGTTAGGTTTTTTTATAATTACATAAAAAAAATTTTTTATGCATTTCTTGTTTAGTCTCAATTGGTACATTTCTTTTCACATTTCATCTGTGCAATATTCATATACAGAGTTATCAGATGAAGAGCGCTCAGTATTAAAATGGGTGTTATCTACCCCTTTCCAGGAGGAAAATTTGTCAACCGAGTCCAAGTTACATGGTGGCCCAGATTCCCTGTTCTTTGAAATTGGACCCAGGTATTGCTCATCATGGTCAAGCTGCCATTCACACATTTTCTTTTAAATATTTTGTACAGCCACAAGTTGGAGCTTGTTATATAGCTCTTGTTCATATTTGAGCTTACAAGTGGGCAATTTCCCATTTTACAACTAGGCTATGACAAAGCCATTGATTACCTATTGGATGAAAATACCCTGCAAAAGTTTTATGACTCAAGTCATTTACAATTAAGTCAAATAAACTTATTATTAGTGAAAGACATTTTTTTTTCTCATGCACATTCAAGATGTGTTGAAGATTCTGTTTTACTTCAGATAGTAGTTTTAAGACTTTTTCATATTGTATTTGCAATGCATTGAAAATAAGAACTCATCTTCAACCATTCAAGTATAGGAATATAAAAATACAACTGATGGATAACGCAAATTGAAAGAAATTGACATTTTTAATTACTTCTAATAGATGCCAGATTTTTAGTAAATTTACAACTAGATTGAACTCCAAACTAAAAGATTCATTGCTGCAGTAAATAAACTTTCTCAATATTTTTCTAGGCTGAACTTCTCTACAGCTTTCTCCACCAACTGTATATCAATTATTCACTCTTTTGGTTACACCGGCTTCAAGAGGATAGAAGCCTCCACTCGCTATCTACTGCGCTTTAAAAATGGCTCTCTACCTGCCACAGAGGAGGAAGAAGCTGTAAGTGCTGTATCCATTATTTTTTTCTGCCACGTGATTGGTTGTTAGTTTAATTTTAAGTACCAATGAAAGCTTGAGAATGGAAAACTAAACCTCTTTGCTGCCTGTTCGTAGAAGCTGGGTTTTGTGACACTAATCAAGATGTAATTTATTTCCGTTTTTATTATATTCTTCAATATTCGCACCTTTTTCTTTTGATAACTGTCTTTTTCCATCAATGAATAATATTTTAGTTGATTAATTTTTAACAATTTTTTTTTTTAATCAAGTAATATTAATAGCGTTTAACATTTTTCCCCAGATTATAAGTTGCCTCCATGATAAGATGACACAGTGCAGGTACATGACCCCACTGACCACATTCAAAATTCAGGTGAAGCCTGACCCAGTGTTTGAAGTTGATGTGTTGGGTCAAGGTAGAAAAGCTCTTGAGGAAGCAAACAAAACACTTGGTAGGCCTCATTCTCATTGCTGATGTTATTTTACATAGAAAATATTTTTTGTTAGGATAGTGTTCAAGTTCTCACTAGCAGTAAAGAACATAATTGCTCTGACTGCTCATATCATTGTTGACATTGTACAGTGTGGGGGTGATGATGATGATGATGAAAACCCGGAATTGTATTGCTTTGTGTGAAATCACCACACAGAAGTCCAATTCAAGATATAATGTTCTTTATTTACACAAATCAATTTTCCTACTTCTACCTAACTAGTCAATGCTATATGCTGTCTACTAATACTACTAACTACACACTTCTATCTAACTGATCCCTAGCTCTACATATCTCTGACTGTCTCTACCATACTATCTACCTCTAACTCTACCTATCTCTGACCATTCTCTTCTGCTACCTATCACCTTCTACCCTCTCTCGCCCCAGTGGTCAGCTGACCGGTCAGCTCCTGCATTTTCATTGGTCTGTTTAACTAAGCTATAGTCTGTTCCTACCATCTACTTGACCACTAACCTAAACTAGTATCATCACACACAGCAAAAAATGCTTGTCTTAAAATGTTGATTTATAATTCTGACAGTAAAATATTAATCATGCTTTTTTTTTTGCTGCCACGAATCTATAGGAGAACATTTAATTAATTAAAGATATTAAAATCATATCATTTTGATTCTAATCTTTTGTAACCATATGCAAAAGAAAAACGCTTGTGTGAAATATGGGTTTTTATATTCATAAAAAAATATAAAAGAAATCTAATTGGTTATCACTTAACATATAAACATAGCGCAATTAATTAATGATAATATCACTGTCCCATATAGTTCCTGTGTTGAAGAGTTGTATAGAGTCCTTGCAAACACGTGACCTAAATCACGTGATACCTACGCCCGCCGCCACAGTGGTGTACATCAGACGTAAACACAATCAGCTGTTCGCCAGCGCTGGACGTGTTCACCGTATGTAAAGAATCGCGCCCGCGGAAAAGGAAAAATATGTTAAAAAACTTGAACTCTTAGGAATTGAAGATCCTTATACAGTTATTGACAGTTTCGTGGATAATATAAATATGTGGCCGAAATTTCTAAATAAAAATACTGTTAGTAATACCGTTTGCGTTTAGAGTTTAAGTAGACGAAGCTGATCAAATGCAGTAATATATTAGAGGTTATCTACTGTAGCAAACGTGAGACCACTTAACTCCTACAAAACCCACACTACAACGGCTAATATAATCCATGGGTAACAACCAATCTGGGTAGCATGTTATACAATTTAAGACCCTTATAATCCATCAGGGAAGTGATCAGACACATTAATACTGATGTTCAACTCTCATGATGGCTGCCTCCACCTGTATCTAGCCCACAATAAAACCAAAGAGGAGTCTGCCCTGCCCTCCCCTGAAAATGTCTCACCTCCGTGATACCCAGCCCCACAGAGATAGTATTTCTGATATAATTTTGACCCTCAGGGCCCAGCAGGGAGAACAAAGGGGAAAGTCCCACTGCTCTCCCCTCAACACTTCTCACCTCGGTGTCATGTTATGTCATTTATAGCACACACGGCTTATCAGGGGAAAGCATTAAGGCATTAAGAATCTTAACTCTGGACAGCTACACACTAGTATACTAGCTACACACTAGGTGCCTACTGTAAACTACTAGACTGTAGGCCCTATGTAGACCTGCAATTGTATCAATTGTAGACTGGGTCCATTGTTATTATTCTAAACCATCTCACTTATAATGTTTCTAGCTTGATTTGTTTCTTTTATAAACAGTGGATTTTAAAAAAAAATTAGCCTAATCATTAACCAAATAATAATAATGTGGTTATTTGTTGTTGGCTGGTATGATCTAGATTGTACTACTAGGCTACAAAAACTTAGTAGACTAATTACTAGATATGAATTTGAATTTAATTAAACTCAGTCCAGTATCAGATACATATTGCTGTAAAAAGACAACAAAGTAGGTAGGCCTTAGTAATTTATTAAAGCCTTCTACTACAATAATATCAACTACATGCTTGTATAAAGTTTTTACAATTTAATTTAAGTAGCAGATTCTAGATCTAGATCTAAGTCTAGTCATATAATCTATTTCAATTTCAGAAAATTTCGTTTGCTAAAAAAATGATTAGATAATAGAGCGAGATTTTAGATCTTAGAGACAATTAAATGCTTTATTAGGCCTATTATGACTACTTTTGATTTATTATGGTGTATTTTGAATCGAATGTAGATCTAAAGTAATTAAATTTAAGTAAAGAAGTAGATTCTAGATTCTATGTCTACCCAGCGGAGCCAGGTATTAGGCCTACTATTAGATCTTATTATTCTTATTAGCCTATTAGTTTTGACTTTGTCTTTTACTATTAGTATTTGTGAAGGTCGAGCATATTTGTTTTATTAATAGTTATCTTTTATAATTAAAATGAAGTTTATTATTTTACTGTCCTTACATGAAACAAAGTATCGAGAACTGCATTTGATCAGATTCGGCTACTTGAACTCTAAACGCAAACAGTATTACTAACAGTATTTTTATTTAGAAATTTTGTCCACATATTTATTTATACGAAACTGTCAATAACAGTATAAGGATCTTCAATTCCTAAGAGTTCAAGTTTTTTAACGTATTTTTCCTTTTCCGCGGGTGCGGTTCTTTACATACAGTGAACGCGTCCAGCGCTGGTGAACACGTCCAGCGCTGGCGAACAGCTGATTGTGTTTACGTCTTGTGTACACCACTGTGGCGGCGGGCGTAGGTATCACGAACGGACGTGACGTCATATGAAAGGACTCTATATGTACTTGTCATCACATTTTTTTTTTACTTTCTCCCATAGGCCTGGCATTTGATGACTGGGACTTGGACTACTACACCAAACTTTTTCAAGAGAAAGTCAAACGAAACCCAACAAGTGTTGAGTGCTTTGATCTTGCACAGTCAAACAGGTGACTTTGATTTATTGCTTTAAATTAAAACTCATACAGGTGACTATATGTACTTCTTTTAACTCAAACTCAAATATGTGACTGAAATTTAATGCCTTAACTTAAAATTCAAACAGGTGACTTTAATTTGCTGCTTTAAATTTTAATATTAGTCTCATTTGCATAAAAACAATATTAGCTACTGCTAATAAGAAATTAATTTTACATTTAATGAGATTAATATATCATCATTCGTAATACATACATTTTTTTGAATTATAGAACTTTAATGAGTAGTGTTGAGATTTGGTAAGTTTCTTGTTTCGAGTCAATAACTCAAGTATTTTAAAAAACTTTCAGTGAACACAGTCGCCACTGGTTTTTCAAAGGTCGCTTGGTTGTGGATAAAGTAGAGTGGCCAGAATCTCTTTTCTCTGCCATTATGGACACACAGTCCTGCAGCAACAACAACAATGTCATCAAGTTCAGTGACAACAGCAGGCATGTTTTTTTTTAATCTTTCTTTACCTCTGATTTTAGTTGCAGTTTGGTTTTAAAAGCATCTCTAAAAGTAAACTGACTAAACCCAGCCACCCCTGTGATGCGATTGTCCATTTAGGATTTTTGGCCACTTCACCACCTTATTCCACTCGACTTGTCTGTTTGTTTTTCTAAAATGTCTGTGCATAACTATTTTGGGGGGGGGGGATATCCCTTGCAGCTCTCTGGGTAGCTGATTTTGGTTGTCGTCAGTGTGTTTAAGGTCCCCTAAAGCCATAGTATTTGTAGGATAGATTTTTCATTGATAAACATTGAAATTTGAACATTAGGCCTACATATTTCAAGTTGTGCATAGTTTAATGGAACAAAGGCTGAAAATGAGTTCATAACATAAAAAGATACACATACATAAGTCTCAACATTTTTAGTAAGAGTACAACTTCAGTCCAAACAAAGATTTTACCATTCAGTTTTGATAGTTGACTAGAGGAGTAAATGATTCTGTGCCATCATAAAACATGTTTTAAATTAATTTTTAGTTAAATAGATTATCAAACATATTTCAAACAAGCCAAAAAAACTTTTTAAGTTCAACAAGCAGTAAAATTAATTAAACAGTTCTTAATGTAAACACCAGCATTACTTTTAACTTTTCTCCTAATATTATCAGGATATAAGAAACCAAATGTTTAACTACTGTGATTATTAAAACAAAAATTGACACAATATCTATTTACAGTGCAATCAAAGGTTTTCCAGTGAAAGCACTGGAAGCAGAAAATGCAAGAGGCCCTGGGAAAGTCAGCGTAAATGAGGAACAGTTGAGACACATTATCTTTACAGCAGAAACACACAACTTTCCTACTGGTGAGGGAGTTTTTCATCAAGTTCATACTGAGCTGTCTCATGTATAGTTAGCAGTGTGGTTTTGTAATGTAGTTGCCAGCTGTTTAAAATTCTGTAGCAAGTTATGGTTGATTACATCAACTAAACCTTTTAAATTATTTATTACCATAACTCTTTATAATGAAAATTTTTTTCCCCCCTTGATTTTATTCAGTACATCTATATACTACTAAAAGTCAACTTTGTTTACATGTTTGAATATTTATTTGTTTGCCTGATCGAAAATTGTGATATGTTCGACTCTATCTGGAAAGCTGTAAAATGGTATGCAGGTAGAGAATAATTTTTTAATGCAGACAGACTGTTGATCACAAATTTATTTAAAGACGTTAATTAATTTATTGATTTATTCCTATGCAGAATAACCCATTTTTTTTTAAAATATTTGAAAAGCCACTAGACTCGGCGGGACCGTGACGTCACAGGTTTTTGTTTACTCTTTAGTACAATAAAATGGCGGCGTCTATTGAAGAAAATTGTGTTCCCATTCAAGGGAAGGTGGAGGGGGGAAGGGGGGGGGACATATGTTGGGGCGCCAAAATGGTTTGGAAAAATAAATTGATAGGTTGAGGGGGGTTCAAATCGAAAGTTTGAGAGGGGGGGGGGTGCACATCAAAAGTTTGAGGGGGGGGGGGGGTTCAAATCGAAAACTTTGTCCCCGGGCGCCGGGAAGGGTCGCTATGCCTCTGAGTGACAGACGTGATGTTTTTTGATGGATGACCCCCGAAACCCACAGTTATCCAACGGATGACGGGTATTCTAGTTTAATCTAAAATTACTTTTTCCCTTTTTATTTAGCACCTACACATTGCACACACACATTATTCGTAACTAAATGCCCTATACACTAATTAATTTTAAATACAATGACATACTTATTGTTGTTAACAAGTAGCTTGTCACTGGGAAAAAATACTCATATTAGGAAAACTATTGACACTAAAATATTTGTATTAATTTTTCAGTCATTGTAAACCAAAGTACTTCCATTTTTCTATCAAATTCATATTATTGTTTTGTAAATTATCTTGACGGCTGAAGTAACTTTAGACCAAGCAGCTGAATAGGGTATGTTGTGTTAATAAAAATGCAGTTTAGATACAACAGAATGGCTTGGTTATCCAGACTTAAATACATCTATAAAAGTAAAGTTACGCTTTCTGAACTGTTGGTCAATAGGGCTGACAAAGTGGAGTTCACATGTTTATTTGACCTCAGTGTATAAATGGATGTGACTTTTTTCCTCATCCACCTTTATCCTCAGCCACCTTTAAACTCAGCCACCTTCACCTACAGGTCACTTGTAAGTAACCTTTATTTTTTTCACTTCAGGTGTGGCCCCATTTCCTGGAGCCACAACTGGCACAGGTGGGAGAATCCGTGACGTCCAGGCAACAGGTCGTGGTGCCCATGTCATAGCTGGGACAGCTGGGTACAGCTTTGGTAATCTGAATATTAAAGGTGAGCCTGTTGTTCTTCTACCTCACCTGTTGACACTGTTAACATTAATGTAGCTTTTTTTTTTGTTTAATTTTTAATGTAGGCAGGTTTTAGTTAAGTGCATGAAATTTAACATGATTTGTGTTAATGATTGTAGGATAGTTTTGGCCATCGGTAGTAGGCCTGTCAATTTCAGTAATACCTAGCTCAGGTCAGTTGGATGTAATACATGGCTCAACCCAGCCTAATGGTTACCTGATTGTTGTCTGAAAATTAACCAGACATCTTGTTTAAAATATTACATTTTCTGATTACATTTTAAAAACTCAATTTTCAATTACTAGTATTTATGATTCAAAAAATTTTTTTTTTAATGTTTACATTTTTAGTCTTTGTCAGTGAAAATTAATGGGACTTCAGTTTTAAAATATTGCATTTTTGGTAGATTTTAAAAATTTAATTTACAGTGACTCATATTTATGATTCAAAACATATTTTATAAAATTATTTTCACATTTTTCAGGCTATAACCTGCCCTGGGAAGATGACGAGGACAAATACCCACCCAACTTCGCTCTGCCTGCTGACATCGCCGTGGAGGCAAGCAATGGGGCATCAGACTACGGCAACAAGTTTGGTGAGCCTGTCCTGGCTGGGTTTGCGAGGTCCTGCGGTCTGATCACCCCTGATGGGGAGAGAAGGGAATACATCAAGCCCATCATGTTCAGTGGCGGCATTGGCATGATGGATGCTGGTCACGTGAAGAAGGATGGACCAGAGAAAGGTACTCACAATCACACAATATAAGCTTATGGTTGAAGTGTCCTTGCGTTTATATTTTAAATATTTAAACCCATGTAGTAAATATATATTTAAATTTAAAAGACCATTTGAAGAAAATTATTAAGATTTTTATTTAATAGAAGTTTAAATAATTATATGATATTAAAATTATTGATTTACATTAACATTTTCAATAAATTCAATTCAATTGATTTATCATAAAATCATTCCTTGCTTTTGTTTAGGCTTCATAACTTAAACCAGTGCTACTTTTACCTTACTTTCTATTGGATCTGAAAGTTTTCTTAAAACAGAATTGTCATGTACCTGTTTCAGGGATGGAGGTTGTGAAGGTCGGAGGCCCTGTCTACAGGATTGGTCTGGGTGGGGGCGCCGCGTCCTCCGTGCAAGTCCAGGGGGACAACAAGGCGGAGCTGGACTTCAGTGCCGTCCAGCGAGGTGATGCGGAGATGGAGCAGAAGATGAACAGAGTGATCCGCGCCTGCGTGGAGATGGGGGGTTCGAACCCCATCAGAAGTATTCATGATCAGGGAGCAGGAGGAAATGGTACACAACTTTAGACAATTTATCTTCATTTCATCTCTAGTGGTACTGGGAAAAAATTAATTTTACAGTGGTTCTTAAATATTCTATTTGTGTATCTTACAACAGTTAAAGCTTTATTGAAATATACTATATATATTCTGGTGTGTAAGATGACTGGGCCTATAAGATGAGTTCCATCTTTACAAGGAAAGCTATGTTTAGGTAGTTAACCATCCCTTCAGGTCAACAACCAGATGTCCTCAACTTTCATTTTTAAAAATTAAGAGTTAAAAAGTCTTCTTACACTCCAGAAAATGCAGTAATTTAGTTTTTTTTTAGCTCTATATTTGTATTGTTTTCCTGATAAAGACATAAATTTTACTTTAAAATGTCCAAATCTTTTTGAGGATTTTATAAAATCTGTTTAAAAGAACACAAGCATATCATTTTTTGTCTGCATATATTTACAAAAATAGATTATTTGTACACATTTCTTATTGTATCTATTTTCCACTGAACTCCATATCAAAATATAGATAACTGGATCTCTGTGCGGTTCAGCAGTTAAAAAATCTGTCTACTGGCTAGTCAGTTATAATTTATTTCTTCATTCTGCCAGGAAATGTATTAAAAGAGCTTGTCGAGCCAGCCGGCGCCGTCATCAGGGCCAAGGACTTCCAGCTGGGTGACCCCACCATCAGTGTGATGGAACTGTGGGGGGCGGAGTACCAGGAGAGCAACGCCCTCCTTGTTCAGCCTGCTGATCTTCCTTTGATGAAGGCTATTGGTGAGAGGGAGAGGTGCCCTGTGTCCAATGTTGGGACAGTCACTGGCTCAGGCAAGGTGAGTTAGTTCTTAGCCCTTATTTTCTCAATTGTTAGCCTTGGTTGTTTTTTACCTCGTTTCTTTCTTTGTTTTAAGTAAAGATTCCTCTTTAGACCTAGTGATCCATTGGGCAGATAAAGTAGAGTTCATAGGTCTCTTGACCTCGATACATAAAGGGATGGTGTTGTCAGCACTATGCCCAGCTGCTTTTACTTTCCCTTACGTGAATTAGGTACCCATCAGAGCTGGGTGGACTCAGGGACGTTCTACTGACTTGAACTCGAAATTTGAACTCAAGACTTTTGAGTTTTGTTCAGTTCTCGTTTATTTTCTTTCTTGTCGGACCTTGTTTCTGCTGTGCTGTTAGTTCTTATTTCTGTCTTTGCTTTTAGCTCTTGTAGCTTTCTTTGTTGTTGTCTATTGTTTCTTTCTCTGTTTGTTTCTTTATTGGTCCCCATCTCCTCTTCCTAACTTTCAAAATTTCTGACTACTTGTATTCTGGTAAACTTGACTGTGCAAATAATCTTTACATATGCCACTGTCATTGTAAAATTAATTTTATTACCTGCCCTTTGGGCCAACAGGTAAAAATGCACTTTACTTAATAAGCCACATATACTTTATTTCTTAGCACTCTATGTTTTTATTATGTATTTGTTCTGTAGATTGAACTTGAAGATTTTAATAAAGAGGGTGGTGATACAGGCAGGAAGCCAGTAGATTTAGAACTAGAATTTATTCTTGGCTCCATGCCTCGTAAGGTGGGTAGTATAATCCTTTATTGTTTTATATTCTATAAAATGTTTCAAATATTTATTTTGATTAAAATCCAAATATGAATTTTTTTTGGCACAATTCTAAATAAAATAAGTAGTAATTATTTTTGTTCCAAAAATGTATATATAATTTTATTTTCCTCATTTATTAGTTAGTAAATATTTTTCAACTATATAAAACATTTTAATATCGTCTTTTGAAGAGATCCTAAGTTCTTATGTAATAAAATTTTATAATAATGTACATGATCTCTGTTGAAAAGAAGTTTAAAAAAATAGTCACATCCTAATTTTGCTATGATGTGAAGAGGTGTAAATGTATTGAAAGTGATAAATGTTAACCCTATAATTATACTGTGGTAGATGTTTGACATAAAAAATCATAATGATATTGAAAGTGTTATATGTTAACCTTGTAATTATATTGTGGTAGGTGTTTGATATGAAGAGATGTAAAGTGAACCTACAGCCCTTAGTTCTGCCAGAATCTCTGACAGTGCAGGAAGCCCTCAGCCGCGTGTTGCGTCTTCCATCAGTTGCCAGCAAACGTTACCTAACAAATAAAGTGAGTGACATGTTTGGATCTAGTTTTTCAATGCAATTTTTTGTCTGGTTATGTAGTCTGTTTACTTACTTTGACTTATCTAGTCTAATATATTAGTCTGATTATCTACTCTGCTTACTTTACCGGTTTGCCTAGTCTACTATTTAGTCTAAATATCCATCTATTCGGCTTTTTTTGTTTTTGATCCAATGATCATCTAGTCTGCTTAGTTTGCCTGGTTAGTAAGTCTGCTATTTAATTTGTTTATTTAACCCTTAAATCACGCCAAGACACGTTCGTGGCTTTGCTGTTACATAACTTAGAACATGTAAGGCCACTTGGCGCACACTTTAAGGGTTAATGTTATGTTGACCATTTTTGTCCTCAGGTTGACAGGTCAGTGACAGGTCTGGTTGCCCAGCAACAGTGTGTCGGGCCCCTGCACACACCTCTGGCTGATGTGGCTGTGGTTGCCTTGTCCCATTTTGATACTGTAAGCACATTAAAAGTGAAAACACTTGTATTTAGTAAACCATCATTTATGCTGTGTACAATTGTGTTCTTGTGTGAGGACCGTAAAGGGCTTCTTAAAAATTAGCAAAATTTAATATTTTTACTGTTATTTACTAATTTAAAAATAAATTTAATGTAATTTTCTCAAGTTGTTGCTTGTTTTGAGTCTTACTCTTATTAAATAAACATATAGGTTAAGGTATGATTTTTTTGCACTTGCCTGCAAATGATAAAAAATGTGTTTACAATTAGACACAACTACTAAAAAGGTGTTTTAAAAAGTTTTTTTTGTTGTTGTTTACAAATCTTAAGTTTAAAAATATTTTTTTTGTTTACAATATTTTAAGTTATTGTTTAGGTAATAAACTTAGAACCTTGGTTTATTTTCAGGTCGGTGCTGCGACATCCATAGGAGAACAGCCAATCAAAGGCTTGCTGGACCCAGCGGCTGGTGCCAGGTTGTCTGTGGCGGAGGCTCTAACCAACCTGATGTTCAGCTACATCACAGACATCAAGGTTGGTTCTCATTGTGGATCTTGTCATAAAATCTAGAGTGGGTTATACTATATTGTATTGACATTTGTTTTAGTGCCAGTACCGCTGTTAGGGTCATGATTAGAGTTAGGGTCAGAACAGGGACACAAGAAATATATCTTAGCCACCCACCACTCCTGCTTCCTGTATTATTGTTTCATTTTAAATTTGTTACAAACTTACAATCTGAAAAAAATCTTTTAAATTTGTTATAAACTATTAATGTGAAAAATGGCCCATACCTGATATTGTCACTGTTGAAAACAAAGATTAGCCTTATTTTAAATATTCACTTTATTTTACTTTAAATATTACTATTAGTAGGACAGTCTCTAAGATGTATGCCCCTATTATTCTTCAACGAATTTTAATTTACTTTTTTAAGTATCAAAAATTATAAATTATCTTGCCTCTGATGTTTTGGAACTCTTGTTTACCCATCATGCACTTGCACAGGATGTCAAGTGTAGTGGCAACTGGATGTGGCCAGCCAAGCTTGAAGGGGAGGGCGTGGCTCTGTTGGATGCCTGTGTGGCCATGTGTAGCTTCATGAGGGAGGTGGGCGTGGCTGTAGATGGGGGTAAAGATTCCCTCAGCATGGCGGCCAGGGTGGGGGAGAAGGTGGTCAAGGCACCAGGTGAGGATATTGTTACAACTTTGTCCTTAGATTTAAAACCTCAGTATTGCCATTACCATTTAAGATACCCCACTGGCCAAGTGTTTCTTTCAGACTTTTTTCTCCTGGGGGGGGGGGGAGGATGGTAGACTATCTTTGGGGGGTACCCACACTCATTTTAGGGAAACAAGGCTGGTGTGCATAATGCTGAGCACATTATTCCCTTGAAACAGATGGTTTCTACTTCATTTGTGTCTTGTGCATAAACGGAAAAAGATGAATGAAAACAACACTCTCACTCATTATAAAATTTGAGTGATAAAACTTAGTGAGACACAACTTTCCTACTTGAAAACAATTTACCCTCTAGCTGTGCGGTCATGCTGCACCTGTAGTTCTGACCCTGCCTCCCAGTCCTTTTATAAGATACACATATCCTTGTGTAAGACTATAGAACGCTGCACACACAATGCACACTAGGTTTTTCCTTTTATATGGAGCAGTGCTTGAAACTCCTTGTGGAGACTCCTACATAAAGACAGAAACTACCTGCATACCTGCTCACACACCTAGACAGACTACGACCAAATTAAACTGCTTTCTAACAGCCTACCATACAACTTCATCCTCTCCACCTACAGCAGCTTTACTCCCTACAAAGAAAATCTGTCTCTAGACAAATAATCTCACACCCAGAAACACTAGACAACTTTTGCTTGTCAACAGTTGTCATGTGACTTAAGTCATGTGATACATATAAAAACTACTGTGATAATGTTGAATACTACTTTTTTAAAGTTAAGTTTTGACCAGTTAATCGTTTTATAATCATATTTATTTCTGTGTATTGTAATTATCGAAGAGGAAGATTAAACTCAAAACCATAATCATATGATCTTGATGTGATCTAAATGATCTTTTGTGACCAACTCCAGGAACTCTGGTTATATCAACGTATGTTGGTTGTCCTGACGTAACACTGACTGTCACTCCTGATCTCAAATGTCCAGATGGTGAAGGTTGGTATTTTTTTTTTAAGAGTTTGTTTTGAAATTATTTTTTATGGTAATTCTAGTATGGTATATACATTTTAGCTGTATATTTAAACTTTTTTTTAGCTTAAATGATTACGATAAATTTTTTGTGTATTTAGCTCCTTTTTGTATTAATTTTTAACTTAAGAAATATTGCTTGCTTTGTGTTAGAATTAGTAAAAGTTAAATCAATATGTTAAAGCCGTATATTTGTTTGTTCATACAAATGCACTATATCTTTTTAAATGAATATAAATTGTATTGTATCAATCTTGTTTTTTGTATATCAAAAATACATCTAATCATAATGTCCAAATCTTACTATACAGACCAATATCAAATTTACATTAAATGGTAGTGCATCAATTAAAAGTAAAATAGAGTACATTTTATTACTCTAGGTGTGTTGGTGTACCGCCCTATATGTGCATCGATTGACACTATTAAAAATAAAATTGGGTACATATTTTATGACTTAAGGTGTGTTGGTGTACCTCCCTATTGGGGGAATGTCCAACTGGAGGTTGGGTGGTAGTGCATTGGCCCAGTGTTTCAAGCAGCTGGGGGATCAAGTCCCAGATGTGAAGGCAGCCGATCTGGTCAAAACTTTCAAGGCAGTGCAGGTTTTAGTCAAAGGCAAGAACAATGTTTTGATTTTATTTATAAATATGTACTGAGCTTTGAGAAAAAATATTAAGTGCATTTTGCAAGTTTTTAGAAAAGTTTACGCAGTATTTTGTTTTACATAAGTACAAACTTTAACTTTTTGAAACCATCTAATTCGGCCACTTGTGAGCTATTTCTCAAATCATTTTAAATAAGGAAAGGTGGGAGACACAAAAATATTTTGCTGGTTTTAACTCAATTTATAACATATGTAAAATACTTATTTCCAATGTCCTATATATATAAAACAAATTAATTCAAACTTAAATAAGTACATTCTAATAAGAATATTGGTGACTAGGGAAATATTATGTTATCTGAATAGTTTTGTTTTGGTGACTAGTAGGTTCTAGTTAAATTATCTAAGGAAATTGTATCTAAGGTCCATTGAATTTACAAATTTTCTCATCTGTGTACATTTTTTTTGTGACAGATAAAAAGTTGACAGCAGGTCATGACGTCAGTGACGGTGGTCTGTTGACGTGTCTGCTGGAGATGGCATTTGCTGGCAACTGTGGTCTGGTGGTGGATGTTCCTGTCACCCAAAGTCAAGGTCAGTCTGGTACTGTGTCAAGGTCTCTCTGGTACTGTGTCAAGGTCTCTCTGGTACTGTGTCTCTGTTGGTCCTGTCCCAAAACTAGCCCATAATTTATTTATAAATAATGTGTTGTTGCTCTGTTCAACTACCTCAACATGGGAGACATGCAACCGAGTTAGAACCCGTGATGATTCAAGCCAGATGAGGCTCCATCGCATGGGACAGCAACCAGTCTAGTAGAGAAAATTAAAAAATCAAACAACTGCTGCCTTGCTGATAATCCTTATCCAGATAAAGGCTATGGAAGAAAAGTAGACTGAAATCTGATTCGAGCAAAATGGCGCATAACATATTGATATGTAATGCTTGAGTTTGAGGAAATCCTCTCCAGTATATTACAGTAAAGAATGAAGAAGAAAGAACCCATGATTACTAACCACTAAGTTTCATGTTTAAGTGCTATTCCTGTTTTGTATTCATATAATCCTCTGATAATGGCACCTTTATAAATTCTCTTCAAATAATATTATCAGAGAGATGAACTGGGACATCTCTCCAGAAGTTTAAATGAGCCCATACCATCTATTTAACTCTAGAATTATAGATTTTGTTGAAAAAATAAATCCAAAAATAAACTTGAATTTGGCTGAGATAAGTGGAAGGGGGGGGGGGGGGGGGGGGGATAATTTTAAAATTGTATTTATTAATGTCAAAATAATGATAAAAATAAAACAAATCATTTTTTATTCAGGTAAAAACTGAATTTAAGATTGAAATAATTTTGTTATCAAATGGTTCATGTGTCTAGGTGTTATGAAAAGTAACACCAGTGGTCTCCATTACCAGGTGCTGTTCACAATGTTTTGTTTGCTGAAGAAGTTGGGGCTGTGGTGGAGGTGTCTAAAGACAACTTGTCCCATGTGTCCTCTACCCTTGAGCAGAGTGATGTCCCTTTTGTAATCTTGGGGAAATCCCAGGGTCATGAGACTGGCAAAAATGCCCAGGTGATCCATCTTTTTTTTAGCGCAATTTCCATTCTGGAGAATTGCGTTTATTAACTCGTCATTTCTGGATGGATGGATGGATGGATGAATGTATGGATGAATGTGTGTCCGGGCTTTAAGTCGTATCTCCTCCTCAACGAAGCAATATCGATGACTAGTTACAAAAACAATTATGTTAAGCAAGTTACGAGAATGAGCATAGGCCATAAAAATTCCGGGTTTCTTTCATGTATTTCCCGGAAAATCCAAAAAACCTGGAAAAAATGCAGTTTTTGGCCCATATCTCGGCAACCAGACCACTTAGCGACTTGAAACATGTACCAATCGATTCCTGCCATAATTTAGAACAATACTGCCGAAGAAAGTTTTCAAAAATATCCTTTCGTTTGGTCACAAATTTTTTTTTGAATTAATTAAAATTTGGACCGAATTAGTAGGCATTTTATGCAACCACACCACACGCGTCATCACGTTCAATAGCTGCGCCATCACGTTCGGTAGCTAGGCGCGCAATGGTTTTTAGTCATGTTACTCTATTGTAAATAAAACATGTAAAATACTGAAAAAAATAAAAATAAAAAACGTTTTAATAACTAACCAATGGTTTTACTAACCCTGCTCTTGATTTACGCTACGACAGAGCTATTTTTAGATAACATAAGGAAATTGCGCTAAAATTGTCACTAGGTCACTAGACTTTTTTTTAATTACTTGTTTTACATTATACTTCATGGCGATTATCAAAACATCATTTCCCTTTTGTGCCTAACTGCCAGTCTATGGCAATTTTCTTGTCAGTTTCCCAAGAGAGTCCTATTCTAGTTAGATGTTTTTCTGCTGTACACCCACATCTCCCTTGGCCTTGTAATGGCTAGCTTGAGGTGCTGCAATTTTTTTATTTTTTTTAATTCAATAGCATGAGTAAAAATGTGTTCATTTCAAGTATTCATACTTATTTAATTTTATGCAAAGCGACTTTCACTGTCATTTGTATTTGGTGCCATTGTCATTTTGCTCACATTTTTATTTTGTCATTTATATGAAGTATAAAAGAAGTATTGTAATCATGCAAAAATTCAAAATCGAGATTTTCACATGTCTGTCTTTTGCCCAGGTGATTGTGTCTGTCTTTTGATTGTGTTCACCTGTCTGTCTGTCACCAGATGATTGTGTTCACACATCTGTCTGTCACCCAGATGATTGATTGTGTTCGTCTGTCTGTCTGTCTGTCACCCAGATGATTGTGTTCACACATCTCTGTCTGTCACCAGGTGATTGTGTCTGTCTGTTGATTGTGTTCACCTGTCTGTCTGTCACCAGGTGATTGTGTTCACACATCTGTCTGTCACCAGGTGATTGTGTTCACATGTCTGTCTGTCACCAGGTGATTGTGTCTTTTGACTGTGTTCATATGTCTGTCGGTCTGTCACCAGGTGATTGTGTCTGTTGACTGTGTTCATATGTCTGTCTGTCTGTCACCAGGTGATTGTGTCTGTTGACTGTGTTCATATGTCTGTCTGTCTGTCTGTCACCAGATGATTGTGTCTGTTGACTGTGTTCATCTGTCTGTCACCAGGTGATTGTGTTCACATGTCTGTCTGTCACCAGGTGATTGTGTCTTTTGACTGTGTTCATATGTCTGTCGGTCTGTCACCAGGTGATTGTGTCTGTTGACTGTGTTCATATGTCTGTCTGTCTGTCACCAGGTGATTGTGTCTGTTGACTGTGTTCATATGTCTGTCTGTCTGTCTGTCACCAGATGATTGTGTCTGTTGACTGTGTTCATCTGTCTGTCACCAGGTGATTGTGTCTGTCTGTTGATTGTGTTCCCGTGTCTGTCTGTCACCAGATGATTGTGTCTGTTGACTGTGTTCATCTGTCTGTCTGTCTGTCACCAGGTGATTATGTCTGTTGATTGTGTCCACATTTCTGTTTGTCACCAGATGATTGTGTTCACATGTCTGTCTGTCTGTCACCAGGTGATTGTGTCTGTCAACGGCTCCATCGTGCTAGAGTCCAGCATGTGTGAGCTGCGAGACATGTGGGAGGAGACGAGCTTCGTGCTGGAGAAGAGACAGTCCAACCCCGCCTGCGTCAGTCAGGAGCAGGCAGGGCTCCGACATCGTCAGGAGCCCAAGTACCACATCAGTTTTGACCTCGGCACTTTGCTGTCTGTTGACCGGCCTTTGGGTGAGGGGTTGCTCTTATTTAACTTTCAAGTTCATCAGCTTACTAGTGAGGTTAAAGTATTTGGTTTCTAATTAGTTAACAAAATTGAGAAGGTTGGTTTTTTTTTTATTTTTACATTTTAAAATTTCAAGTTAGTCAAATTACTGATGAGTTTCAAGTATCGAAAATCAAACAACTGATGCCTTGTTTGTTCTTGGTTAGACAAAGGCTATGGAAGTAAATCCAAAAAGAAAAGCAGGCTTAAATCGAAGTCAGCAGCTTATAGGGCACATAACAAGTTGACACATAATACTTAATTGTGTTGGAGGGAATCCCTTCCAACACTAGAATTATGAACAAAAAAAATTTTCAGGTCGATGCTTAACATTGATGTATTTATTATTAATTAGTTCTGTTTTTAACCTATTTAAGTCCGAGATGGCAATGGTAATGAAAAATATTTAACAATTACGATTTGGCCTGAAAATGTTTTTGTAATGCTTGCAGCTGGCCAGCCCAAGGTTGCCATAGTGAGAGAAGAAGGCAGCAATGGGGACAGGGAAATGGCTGCAGCTTTTACTCTGGCTGGGTTTGAAGCCTGGGATGTCAACATGGAGGACTTGATCAGGCAGAAAGTTTCTCTAGCGTCCTTCAGGGGCGTGGCTTTTGTGGGAGGGTTCAGCTATGCTGATGTGTGTGGGTCTGCTAAAGGTGAGTTGTTTTTGTCGTCTGGTTGAATGAGAATTTCATTTTTAGTCATCATGTTTAATCTCAGTTTTAGTAATCTGTTTGACTAAGAATGTCAGTTTTAGTCATCCAATTTAATCTCAGTTTTGGTCATCAAGTTGACTGAGAATTTCATTTTTAGTCATCTAGTTGAGTATCTCAGCATTATTTATCTGTTTGACTGAGAATTTCAGCCTTAAAATTTTTACCTGAGGCTTTAGTAAAAGAAAATTGAGGCAGCATAGTTAGAGCACACAATTACTAACCAGAAAGAATTGAATTCAGTTCCTGGGCTTGTGTCCTTGTGACATCCCTGAGTATATGGGTACTTACATTAGCAAAAGTAAAGGTGGCTGGGCTTAGAAAAGTTAACTTTACTTACTGTGATAAAACATAAAGCATAATCAATCATGTTAATTCGTACTTTTTTATGTGTTTTTCCCGGTCATTTTCCCGTTCATGATTGTATGTCTGGCTAGGCTAATATTAATATGTAAATGTATGTCTGGCTAGGCTAATATTAATATGTAAATGTATGTCTGGCTAGGCTAATATTAATATGTAAATGTACGTCTGGCTAGGCTAATATTAATATGTAAATGTTTGTCTGGCTAGGCTAATATTAATATGCAAATGTATGTCGTCTATCTAGGCTAATATTAATATGTAAATGTTTGTCTGGCTAGGCTAATATTAATATGTAAATGTATGTCTGGCTAGGTTAATATTAATATGTAAATGTTTGTCTGGCTAGGCTAATATTAATATGTAAATGTTTGTCTGGCTAGGCTAATATTAATATGCAAATGTATGTCGTCTATCTAGGCCACGGGTTCCCAACCTGGGGGTCGCGACCCCCTTGGGGGTCGCGAAGGTCTTTCTGGGGGGTCGCCAACTGGTATACTAAACCTTAGTAATTTGAAACAAAACATAAATATTAGTATTTCTCGCTAACTTGGAGGCGTGGTCGGTTGCTAACAACAATATGGCGTCCGGACCGGACGCTTGACTTCCGACGATTTTTCGGCCAAATTCCAGAGACCCTCTACTAATTAGTTTTTAAAATGTTTACCACGCGCAAAATGGCGGGACTTTCACGTTATAACAACAAGCTATAGGTGGCAGGGCTATATATGCCAGAAAAGCATTTTAAAATTTGCGTTGGAGAATGAAGGCTAAATTTAAAAGTTGGTTTCATCAAAAATACTAGAACTTTTTAAATATCGATTTCCATATTACAAAATTGATTTCCATAATAAAGCATTATTAGTTTTATCAGTCTATGAAAAAATAAATCAAATATCGTCAACCCTTTTTTTATAAGACCAGCCACAAAAATGACAACCAAATTTTTTTTGAAAAATAAACCACGTGACCACTATTTGGAGATCACTAGTGAGGAACTCTTGTGCATGGCCACTTAAAAAGTCTAACCTGATTTGTGGTTTTCTTTACCTTCAAGGGTTGGGAGAGTTGTCATGGAGAGATGTGTTGGACATGGCAGTGATTGACAATAAATATTAAATTAAGTAATTTAGTTTAAAAAGAACTAAAAACTCCAAAGTTAGTGCCTAATGGATTAAATATGGATGTCTATTATTCAGTGGTCATGTTTAAATTGATAATTGCGTAAATTCTAGATTTAGTGAGAAAAACTAATAAATATTTAGAAGAATTTTTGAAATTCGGCTTCATTAACATCACTGGAAATGTAATAGAGAAGAAACAAAGCGCATTGTACAAAGCTGTTCTCAGTCACGAATCTATGAAATCTTCAAAACTAAAACGCCATTTGAGACGAGTCATTCGGAACACACCAAAAAATATATGGAGTTCTTTCGTCGGTAAGAAGCTAGTTGCAAACGCCAGAGACTTGATCGAACAGGAAGTTTTCACCAGCATTAGTGCAAGCATCAAATGAAGTCGCGATAGAAAATGACAAGCAAAAAAAAAAAACAATAGGAGAAAATCTCATCAAACGCTGCATGTACGTAAATGTTAAATAAAACATTTTTATCGAAATTAAGCTTTCACCATTATTTGCTTTTCAAGTTGATAAATCAACAGACGTGAGTTCGTGTTCGCAGTTGCTGGTCTGTGTCTATATTCATGCGGATGATAGCAAAGAAGAGTTGCTCTTTTGTGAAGATAGCATGGCTGTCAAACAAAATGTTGTAAATTGTGTTTTTGAATTGAAATCTAAAATCAAATTGTTCTTGGAAGTGCAAAGGAAACAAGACTTTTTGGTATACTTAAAACGACATAGAGTGGTTGGAGAGAGTATCATACCTAGCAGATGTGTTCGAACATCAAGATAAGCTTAACCTGAAGCGTCAGGGAAAATGAACGAATATTATAACTTTCCATGATAATCTCGGGGCATTTTTATCAAAGCTGCAAAATCGGTAAAGAAAATAAATCTTGGAAATATTGTAAATTTGAGAAACTCTGCGTTGTGGTAAATGAATCTGATAGTGAGATAATTAAAATTTTGAAAGAAGCGATTTCTTGGCATCATCTTGAATCTCTTGAAAACGAACTGCATCGCTATTTCTCTGAGCTGAAATAAGAATAATCTGCATTTACACATTACCCATTCTCTTCTTCCCTTGATGTTGCCAGCATTCTCGATGAATTACGAGATGAATTCTTTGATTTGCAGAATGATTCCGAGAAAGATGAAAAACTGCAGACACAATGTTGGTGTAGTATTCACCATTCATACCCAAACGTAAAATTGATTGACTTTTCGAGAATATATTTTCAACACTATTCTTCGATTAAAAACAAAATTAAGATAATTATAATGACATAGGTTGGCGTTAACCAATTTTTTTAAAATTAAAAACTTAACCACGAAGGTTTAGTGAATAGTAGGTTTATGCAATTTTACTCATGCTATTAAAATAGTTATCAAGAGTAGTTCATATTGAAAGTCTACTAGAAAATCTTATTTTATTGCTTATTAATTTCCATACTAATTTCGGCTTTTTAATTATATGGGGGTCGCGGGTCACTTACTTTTTATAAAAGGGGGTCGCCACTCGAAAAAGGTTGGGAACCACTGATCTAGGCTAATATTAATATGTAAATGTATGTCTGGCTAGGCTAATATTAATATGTAAATGTTTGTCTGGCTAGGCTAATATTAATATGCAAATGTATGTCGTCTATCTAGGCTAATATTAATGTGTAAATGTATGTCTGGCTAGGCTAATATTAATGTGTAAATGTATGTCTGGCTAGGCTAATATTAATGTGTAAATGTATGTCTGGCTAGGCTAATATTAATATGTAAATGTTTGTCTTGTTGCCAGGTTGGGCTGCCACTGCCCGCTTCAACAAAACTGTCAGCTCAGAGTTGTCTGCGTTCTACTCCCGTCCAGACACGTTTAGCCTGGGTGTCTGCAATGGCTGCCAGTTGATGGCCCTCCTCGGCTGGGTGGCCCCTGATGAAACAGGTATTTTTTTCCCCATTTGTATTTTTTTTTTTTTATAGATTTTATGTTGTATGCTTTGTCATTATTGCTATGTTAAATGCTGGAATGGCATTTGTTCTGTATTGTCTCATAAATCTTAACAAATATTTTCCCTCTAAGCCTTTCTGGAGTATAACTAAACAAAACTGAAAAACTGTCTCCTCATTTGTTGAAAAACATTGATAATTTCTTGAACATTGCCAGATTTTAAAAAATCTTCATGTGGTTTAGAAATAGTGCCAAATTTTAAAAAAATGTCATATGATTTAGATTTAATGCCCGATTTTAAAAGTCTCTGTACTTCTTTGAAACTTGCCAAACTTTTGACTTCGTACAGTTTAGAATTTCAGAGGTATGTTTATTTTTTTTTAATTAAAATTATTCCTGCAGCCAAGGAACAATGTACCCAGGGATTGCTACTGGACCATAATAAATCTGGACGCTATGAGTCACGGTTCACATCTGTCAAGGTGGAGAAGTCTCCCGCCATCATGTTAGGAGGAATGGAGGGGACTGTATGGGGCATGTGGGTCTCCCACGGAGAAGGTGGGTAGCTGTTTTAATGTGGGGGAAGGCAGGTGATTGTAGGTGGGGGGTAGTGTTTTCAGTGGGAGGTGGGTAGCTGTTTTAATGGGGTGAGGGGTGCAGGTGATTGTAGGTGGGGGTAGTGTTTACAGTGGGAGGTGGGTAGCTGTGTTAATGTGGGGGGGGGGGGGTGCAGGTAATTTTAGGTGGGGGTAGTGTTTTCAATGGGAGGTGGGCAGCTGTTTTAATGATGGGGGGGGGGGTGGTGCAGGTAATTGTAGGTGGGGGTAGTGTTTTCAATGGGAGGTGGGTAGCTGTTTTAATGTGGGAAGGGGGGTGCAGGTGCTTGTAGGTGGGGGTAGTGTTTTAAGTGGGAGGTGGGTAGCTGTTTTAGTAGGAGAAGGTGGTCGATTGTTTCAGTGAGGAGCAGGGTGGTGGCTGTTTTAAAGGGGAGGGGGGTAGGTGATTGTTTCAGTGAGGAGGTGGGGTTGTGTTTTTAAGCGAGGTGGGTAGCTGTTTTAATGTGTGTGGCTGTTATATAAGAAGGGGAAGGTGGGTGGTGTTTAAAATGGGAGGGGGTACAGCAGCAGTGTCAATGGGAGTCTGATAACTGTTCTACTGGCTGAAGGGTGGGAAGTTTTAAATAATGGTATTAGTTTTAAATAGGGTTTGGATAATTGTTTCAACAGGGGAGTGGGTTGCTGTTTTAACATTGCAGGTAAATGTGTGTCATTCAAAGCTAGTTTAGAACTTCCTGGTTCTGTAGAAGTAATTGTCTTTGATAATTAAATTAGATAGTTGTTTTTTTTTTTAATAATATCTCTTAACAAACCACAACTGTTACACTGCATTTATATGTGTATGCTATACACAGCTAGAGAAGAAACATCGCCATAAGTTAATTTTTATAAAACATGTTTAATGGAGGCCTACTCATGTATTGCGAAGTTCTTTTTCTAGACATATATAGTATACATGTCGCAAGGGTAAACCCGGTGTCAGTATGACAAAGTTTGGATTTTGTTATTCTGTTCATGCTGCAGGATGACTAATATGTTAGTGTAAAGTTTTTCTTTAGTCCCTAAAATTGATTAATTAATTAGCATTTTTATGTGTTGTGTCATCTACAGGCCGAATGCTTTTCAAAACGCCAGAGATTCAGTCGAAGATAGAACAGAATGGATTGGCTCCTGTCCGATTTGTGGATGATGAGGGGTCGCACACTGAAGTTTATCCGCTAAATCCAAACGGATCTCCCAATGGAATAGCTGCTGTGTGCTCCGAGGATGGGCGGCACTTGGCCATCATGCCCCACCCCGAGCGATGTGTTTGGGCGTGGCAGTGCCCGTGGATGCCCTACCCCCTGAGAGACACCGTAAAATTTTCACCTTGGATTAGAATGTTTGAAAATGCCTACAAATGGTGTCAAGAGTGATCTGCCCCTGAATATGCCACTGAAATGTGTTCTTGTCAGATCTCCAAAAAAGTTTTTTTTAAATTTCTCAATTTATTACTGAATTATTTTTTTACACTGCATTTAAACTATTGATGTATTTTGACTTTATATTTTTTACTTTCAAACTTTTAAAAAGTAAAAAGCTTTAAAAGATTAGTATACATTTAATTGATATTAACAGTTTTGATTATTGAAGTTTATTTTTACCATTTCATACAAATGTACTTTTATCTTTCACAATGCTCACAACACTTCATTAAAATAATTAATCAATCTTTTAGAGCAAAATTCATTTACCAAATTTTTATTCTCATCCATGTTTCAATAACAATTTATCTTTAGAGTGATGTAAAAAGGTTGATCTAATGTTTTCTATAAAAGTTGTTCAGAACATTCACACATGACTTTGTCATATCCATTGGATCGATTACGGGTTGATGTTTCTTGTTGGTGTTTTGCGATGTTGTTCATGTATACGTTATTGAGAGAGCCTCTATACTTATTTAGTGTAACGGGCGATCTTTAGGCTATGCTGGCTTTAGAATTTGTGTTTTGTTCATAAATGAACTCAATGTTAAATACCTACCTATTGTGGTAGACTTAATCTCTAAGTAATTTTGCTAAATTTTTATAATAGTTCCCATCATTTTGTTTCTTGTGGAATATGTTTATCGTATGAAGAGAATTTACAAAACTTGTATTAGCGAGTGAAAGTTTAAGAACCATTTGATTTGTTGCTGTATGATTGTTGAAACTGGCAGTATTAAAAAATAAATATACGGCTGCTGATATTGTCAGTGTTGGACTGGGGCTTTTTCATTAAACAAAATAAAGCTATTTTTGTCTTTTATATACAGTGGTTGAGCTACAAACAGTTCTTAATAAAGGTTTGAATTCAGTAGTACTGAGACTATAATTTATTTGTCAATTTTGAGTGTACTCAGTTTTAATCAGTACCTGAGATTGTAAAAGTACAAATGGTTTGGCCAGAGTGAACTCCCAATATATCATACACAGATATCACAGAAATTATCTCTATCCCCCCCTACAGGTTTGTTCAGATACTGTCAGATAGTGGGATATTGTTTTCAGATATTGTTGAAATAAACTAAACCGCAGGTTTAGAGTGTAAAGGAGCCACTGTACCATTGTACACAGCATCACTGTACAGCCTGGCAAAACATTAGCACAGCTGTAGTAGCCAACAACCATTAAGAGAAACTTGATTTCTGGTCTGGTACTTTTGAAAATTGTCACGTGCAGGTGGAGTGGAGTTGGTGATTAAGTAACCAGAAACAAGTTCTGGAACTATTTAAATTGCCATGTGCAGGTGGAGTAGAGTTGGTGATTGTTAAACCAGAAACTTGATTTCTGTTCTGGTACTATTTAAATTGTCATGCGATATGTGAAGTAGAGTTGGGTTATTTTTTAACCAGCAAGGAAGGCATACACAATATATCTCAATTCAGATGTATTTTTTTTTAAAAGGATAATCAACATGCCGCTTTAAGCACCATTAGAGCTGATGCGAGAAATACTCAGCCACTTATAACAGCTAAGCTGTTCATTCATGGATGTTGTTGGTTATACCTATCCTCCCAGGCTGTAGTGAGAGCTGTACTGATCATGTTTGTCTAGGTATGGCATTATTTGTATATACATTGTCCAATTGCTGGAATTATTAGAGCAAAAAAACAACAGCAATGGCATCTATCCATGTCAAACTCACACTGTTAAGTAAAGAATCCTCTTTAGACCTAACGATCCATTGGGCAGATGATAGAGTTCATATGTTTCTTGACCTCAACATATAAAGGGATAATGTGGTCAGCACTATGCACAGCCACCTTTACATTCCCTGACTTAGGTACCCACCAGAGCTGGGTGGACTCAGGGACGCTCTACTGACTTGGACCCAGATTCGATCTCAAGTCTTTTGAGTTAGCAGCCTAGCGCTCTACCACTTGGGCCACACCATGCCATAAACTCACATTGTAATAGTTCCTAGTACCTGCGCTGAATGTCAGAAATCCACCACAAAAATTGTAGCAAACAAAACAGTCAAACAATAAACAGCAACACAAATGGTATAAGTAAGAAACAGTATTTTATTTTAAAAAGGGAATCAGATATTGAATTCCAAAACAAAACAAAAAATTGAAAACAAATGTCATGAGCAAAATATCAAAGGCAGATATTGGAACTTGATTGACTTAACCTACTACTGTAGTCTTGTCTTGTATCATACACTTCATGTGCATTTAAAATAAATTTCATAGGTGGATTATTTTACTTAAGTTGATTTGATTTTAGAAATTGATCTTAAAAAATTATTTACAATAAAATTTGAACACATTTTTTGTTTTTTTTTAAAGTTGTCTAGTTTTGATTTTCACTTTTTAAAAATAAAACAGAAAGAAAAGAAACAAAAAAATTTGAATTACATTTTAAAAATAATTTTTAATGTATAACAAAGCTTTGACATGCAACAAAATAAAACATTCAGATGGACCAGATTTTTGTGGGAACTGACAGCGCCACTCCACGTACACTCACAAGCAGCGTCAAATTCTTGACATCACAGGCAACATTCATCTTAACTGGCAACCCGGGCCATTGCTTGTTGTCAGGACCACGAAAATCTGGCAGCAGACGACAGCAGCCATTCAGTTTTTACACGCATCTTCCAACAGCCAGGCAGGAAACAAAGACAGGGAGTGGCCAACGCTCAACTTTAAGCTTGTTTCTCCTGATCAATAGCTGGGGAGGGAAAAAAAAAAGAACGAAAAATAAATGAGCTGCAGCTTTTTAAAAAAAAATAGAATTGTAGATTAAAATTTAATCAGAAATGAAGGCGTTAAATATGTAAGAAAAATATCGGCCTACAGATTTTTTATTTTATTTCTGTATACGCCTTAGTGATGAATAAAAGAAATTTCCCCCATACAATGTTTCTTCCAGAGTTTTTATTCCGAGGGGGGGGGGGGGGGGGGGGAAACGGACTTGATATTTTCGGGGGGGGGGGGGGGGGGGCGGACTACATTTTCCGGGGGGAGGGGGGGGGGACACTGGCAAAAGTACATATTTTCTATATAAATTTCCATTTCGTTCCGGGGGGTGGGTAGACTTTCTTCGGAGGGACTCCGCCCCCCCCCTCCCCCCCAAGAGACGCCTGGAATAAACACTGATGACTTAGTAGATGACGTTTGTTTCTGTAACAATTGTACCAGTGTAATGTTCGAATGCTGGGTACACATTAAAGCTCGATTTCAAGGAGGGAAAAAAAAGAGGGGGGGGGGGGGTTGTCGTATCCATAAGAACCAAGTCAAACACCCGGCATAACTAGTATTCGAACCTAGGATGAGCACGCTCATGTCAAAGGACCATTGTTTATCGCCATTACTATAAAGAAAAACGTTTGATATCGCCCATACACTTATGTGGCTTACTCTAGTGCAAAATATACAATATCAAGTTTATAATTCCACACCTGTTTTGTGCATAGTGCCTACTGTATAACTCACTAAACTGCATTGATTTTATAATGCGCAAGCCGACACTTTCATTTAATAATGACTCATTTAGCTGTATGTCGGCTTACATACCACCTGTTGCATGGGTGTGTTAATTCACAGCTTGCTCAGGCTGAGGTATTTTGGAGAACGACCAAATGAATAAAATACAAACAAATGCTTCAAGTTACAGAATCAACAAGTTCATTAGCTGGTTAAGACTATAAGCGATACGGTGCTATCAAACATAGGTTGTTTATCGGTGCAAGACATAACTACTTCAAGTTGTTTGAAAACAAATATATACACTATTTACTGTACCCGAGTAGTGTATCATCGTGTCATTTAGTACACGATTTCGTTCACAAATCACCGCGCTTATTATGTTTTTTTTAGACATTTTATTCCCGGGGAGGAGGGGGGAAATAATGGTTAAAGTAAAGTATACATTTTCTATTTATTTATTTATTTATTTATTTTATTTATTTATTTATTTTTCGGCCAGGGGAGGGGAGGTGTACTCTAGAGGTGCACTGCTCTGCTCCTCAGAGAGATGCCTGAAAGAAAGACTTTTGATTTACCCCAACTTCCACCTATATAACCCTAATAGAAGTAGACTCACTAGATATTTGTATACTATATTTCTCGTACAATTCGCCCTCATATCTCTTTAGACTTTTTGTAACATAGGATAAGACACATTATGGACGCCCTTCCATCCCCCTCTTTCCCCACACCACTTCGTAACACTCAACTGAGTTTGTATTTCTTCATGTAGGTTGTATAACTGCAGTGCTACATTCTAATTAATAACACTCTAACTAAGGATTAGTCACGTGAATTAGGTCTATATATAACCAGGTCACGTGAATCTGCATGATGCACGGGAGGCGATCAGACGAAGGCAACTCGAGTTATGAGCTTTTGGCTTGCATGTCGGGGGGGGGGGGGGGCTTGGAATTTTTTGTTGGGGGGGGATACTAAATTTTTCGGGATGAAGGGGGGCACTAGTAAAAGTATGCTTCCTATATAAATTTTGTTTCGTTCGGGGGGGGGGAGAAGGGGCGGTAGACTTTCTTCGACCCCCCCCCCGAAGAGATGCCTGAAAGAAACTCTGTTCATGTGTGTGCACACACTCCACACTCTCAGCCAACCTCACCAGCCGTGGGGCTACAGTTTACGATTTTATAAATGGCCCCACAACGCTGTTCTGGCAAACACCAAGTCACCCAAAAATTGCCCAAAAAAATCTGGCATAAGTGATGTTACGTCCGGCTGAGGCAAAGCCGGAAGTTAAAACTAATTATCTTTTTGGAACATGGCCTAATTAAATGGAATTCTCAATGGCCTATGTCAGTGTTGTGTTTGTTTTTAATTACAGGTTTATTTGACATTTGATTGTGTGCAGGAATGTTAAAAATATGCAACACGTAGGGTGATAAAACCAATGGCAGCATCCTTTGTTGACACCGTCTACGTTATCTGTCCTACATGTCACCACGTTGACCATTCGTAGACGTGGGGAGGGCGAGAAGAGCAGGGCGTTGCCAGTGCCGGGAAGGGCAGAGGCGTAGGGGGTCATCCATTTATGACGTCCACATTTTTTTTGGATTTTGGACCCCCCCCCCCCCCCCCCCAAAAATTAATCTAATTCCCTTTTGAAAGTCCATACGCGTCCGCAAAAGTCAATTTTTTTCGGACCCCCCCCCCACCCCCCGTGTGGACGTCATAAATGGATGACCCCTAGCCCCCTTGCCAGGGCAGGGACGGAGAGGTCAGGGGCGTGGCCAGGGCAGAGGCGTAGTCAGAGCAGAATAATGGGGAGGAGATCGAGATGTATCATGCATGAACGAGGACGCCCAAATATGTAGATGTGTAAAGACCCTTCTGGGGTTTTCTGGAAAATAAACTTCCGCGTGAATGAGATTACATTAATTTTTTGTGTGTGGATACAATGAGATATGGAAAAATTTCAAACATGACTGAATCATCGAGTCCGTTAGATTAGACTGACGATAGAATAAAATACTTGATTAGAGAGGTTTTTTTTTTTTTGCATTGGCGGTCATTGTTAAGCGTGTGTGTGTGTTGTGTGTGTGTGTGAGTGTGTGTTGTATTGTATCTCAAATGGGATGGACAGTGCTAATTGTGTGTGTGTGTGTTGTTTTGTATCACATATGTGATGGACAGTGCTAATAGTGTGTGTGTGTTAGGGTGTTATCACATATATAATGGACAGTGCTAATTGTGTCTCTGTGTGTGTAGGAATGTGTGTGTTAGGGTTGTATCGTGTCACATGTGGCGCTGACACATGAGTCACGTGACTCAGGCTGTAAATA